ATCACAGGAGTGAACACCTCCTCCTATGGCTCTTTCTTGCTTCAAGACTGGTTTTCCAACCACCCTTGGGAACAAAGACTGACAGAAGTGCAGAATGAAGAGAACCAGGCTGTGTTAGTTCCATCTATCTTAGTTACTTTTCTCACTGTGAGACAAAGTACCTGACAAAGTACCAAAGTTAAAGGAAGAAAGATTTATTTTAGCTGCTGTCAGTTTCTAGAGGTTTCAATTCGTAGCTGGCTGGCTCCAGGGCAGGGTGGCATGGCAGAGGGGCATCACAGAGGAGAGACAGTTCATGATGGACAGAAGATAGCAAAGTAGCAAAATAGTGAAGAAGCAAATGATAGTGAAGAAGCTGGGATAGGAGGTGGATTTCTTTAGAAAATTTCATTTTTATTAGTACATGTTTGTGATACGTAATGATACGTAATGATTGTATTCATTGTGGGGAGTTGCTATACACACATGTGTATGTATACGTGACAAATCTTTACAATGTTTCCATCCTAAATACAATTTCAGTGGAAAAAATTGAAGAACCAACCTTCCTTCTCCCCTCCCCAAGTCACACTGCCTAGTCCTGTTTTTAGCTTACTTTGAAAATGTCCTGCCCCTTCTTTGCTGAAGTTAGTGGCCAGCAGAGGGCAGCAAAGCTCCACGACAGCGCTGGCTGGGAGCAGTCTACGTACTCCTGTACCCACATGTGGATGGTGCTAGGCTGGGGCAGCTAGGGTGCTGGCTGCGGCCTACAGCCACTGATGATAAAAATGGGAGCACCACCACAACCACCTTCAAAATAAGAGCAAGCTGCTACTGTGTGCCAGGCTGCACGCAAGCGCTCTAAGTAGATACATGTCGCATATCATTGCCACGCCGACTCTCTGAAGTAGGAGATATTTTTACATTTTATAGAAGAGACAAGAGGGTTGTGGAGATTAAATGACAGGCAGAGAAGCATGGGGGTGATGGGCATGGAAACAGGGTCAGAGGACCCCTCCTTCCACGCCTGTGTAACCTCCCTGGGCCTTAGCATCGTCATCGGGGAAATGGGACGCAATGGGGAGTGTTTCTCCTCTGCGACGGCACCCTTGAGCCGCCTGCATCACAGGTGAGTATTAGTCTGGCTCTATTTAGATCCATTATGACTTCTTTTCCTTGTAGCCTTTCGGATTTTGTTTCTATTGCTCCTTTCAGGCCTTATTGGATTACCTGCATATTTAAAAAACATTCCTTTTAACTTATCTATTGATTTTTGAGCATCTGCTATTATTTGTTAGCGGCTCCTCCAGAGGTAAAATGTACAAGATCTCATCTTTCAGAGTCTACATAGAGCTAATATTTTTCATGTGCAGTTCCTTCTTCCCTACGTTGCAAAGATCACACATCATATATCCGCATACCTTGCAACCCCATTTGTTGAAGTGTTCATTTTTCCTTTCAATAGTCATATCTTCTAAAGAATGTAAGAAGCAAAATAGTTTTTTCCATTTATCCAGGTATTTGTGATTCCTACAGTCTCCTTTTATCCTTGGAGTTGCATGTTCCTCTCTGGTATCCTTTTGCTTCTTTTTTAAGTAGATCAGACCCTTCAGAGCAGGTCTGCAGGTGACAGGTTCTTCTAGTTTTCCTTTGCCTGAGAATGTCTTTGTTTGGTTTCCTTTTTCTTTGTCTTTGCCTCTGAAAGATATTTTTGCTGGCGATGGAATTCTGTATTTATGGGGCTACAGTGTGTCTGGGGTTACAGCGCTTACCTAGCATGCGTGAGGCCCTGGCTCCTCATGTCTGACACAGCAGGTCTCTCCCGGAGTTTTAATTATATCACTGCTGCTGCACAGCCCCGTACTCAGACTCGTCTTTGGGACAAAGGTGAGAGAAAACAGAAGGTTATGGGGCTCGCCTGCCATATTTTCTGGCAAACAACAACCCCTTTCCGTGGTTCCTCTTGGTGGAATAGTACGTTTTCCATGAGAGTTTTAGCTGTGCATGCTCGTGCTCCCCGAGCCCACAGCTGGGGCCCACAGCTCAAGGCTGCAGAGCAGAAAGGAAGTAAAGGCCTGGATCACTGTTCCAAGCTTTGTCTTCTCACTAGGACTTGCCTGCTTTTGTTTACTTTCCAGGATCCTCATAGAATTGTTTTGAATTTTATCTACATTTTTTAGTTGTAATTAGTGGTAGAGAGGCGCTGTGATAAGCTTACTCTATCATGGGCGAATTAGAAGACAATATGTGCCTGTGTGTGTGTGTGTTTGTGTGCGTTGTGCGGTTGTGTGTGTGCGCACACACATGCTGAGGATTGAACTCAGGGCTTCGCATATGTAGATAACGTGCTTACCACTGAACTCCACTCCCAGCCCCTCAGCTTTGTTTTAACTGGACCACTCTGGCTGCTTTTCTAAGGACTGACTGAAGGAAGATGGGAGGAGAAGCAGAGGCCAGTTAGGAGGCTGCTACAATGGTCCAGTCAAGAGGGATGGCTGTTTGGGCCTTTGGTAGTGGTGGACGTAGTGAGAGACGGTTGGATTATGGGTATTACTTGAAGGCCTAGGGGACAAAGTTTACTGATGGATTGAATTTGGAGGGTGTAAGAGAAAGAGAGAGGTTGAAGGGCTCTAAGGCTCTTTGGTGTAAGCAGCTTAGTGGAGCTGCCATCAACGTGGGAAGAGCAGCCTGGAGAAGGAAGGAGGAAGATGAAGAGCTTGTTTCTGTGTTCAGTCTGCGGTGCCCACGAGACATCACCTGAGGATGTCAGTGAGCAAACTGTATACACCAGCCTGGAGCGCCAGGCCGGGCTGGGGATATAAGAGCCAGGGGACTCGCCGTGAGGTCACCTGTGGGGAGGGTGGAGAGATGAGAGAAGGAGCCTGATGGCTGGAGCCTGGGGCGCAATGTAGATGATTTGCTGTCTGTCTCAAAAGCTGGAAGCAACTCCATGCGAACTGGAGGTGTCAGTCTAAGTCCAGTTGGGAGGAGGATAGCACCATAAACGACTTGAACAGGGAATTCTTAGTACAGTCATATTAGGGACTGACACTTAATATAGTAATATGAGGGACTGGTTAGTGAGAAGGGAACTCTAAAAAATATAGCAACAGCAAGTGTAAGGACCAGCTGCTCCTCCTCGTGCTAAGGTGCATGACCCAAGGGAAAGCCAGGCTGGGAGCCAGATCTCACGGGAAAGAGCACAGCCCCTCCCACCAGATGCCAGAGTGGCAGATCTCACTGGAAATCATCCACCCGGAGCAACTGGAAGTCAACCTTGTTGGGTGCTGGAGGAGGATTTTCACAAAGAAGTGCCTGGAAGCACCTGGCTTTGAAATTGCCAGGAGGGTTGCTGGCTGTGGCCAGATGCTACACAAGCCCTCTGTGATTCGGGGACCTGGCGCTGGAGAGACCAGAAAGGGCTGCGGAGGGAGCTCCTCCCTCCCACTCATTACCACTAAAACTCTGGACCGAATTCAAGGGTAGCTACTTGAGGATTTTTGAAAAGTAAACGAAAACAGGCAGATCAGCGTCTCTCTGATGCCTGTTGAACTGCCTGCTGACAAAGATTACCACTGTGCCAGCTGGCAAAAGAAGCGATTTTAGGGTACCAGATCCATTTTCACAGAGAGGGCAGCTGAGGGTGGATTTGGAGCTCAGGCCATGAACCGATCGCGGGCACGGGATATGTGCCCGTCTGGCCGAGAGAGGCACTGAGGCCACACGGCGCAGCCTTGGTGTTGCTGCCCGAGGGGTGTGTGTGGCCTTGCACGTGGGAGTGAACTGGGATGTCAGGAGCCCCTGGAGAGCAGGAGGGCAGATGGCAGCTGCACCCAGGGCCATGCTTGTAGGCTTGCAGCTGTGCACAGGGTGCCTCTCCCTCCTCGGGGTGCTGCCTGGAGGAGGGATGAGGCGGCACACACAAGGATGAAAGATGGTTTCCTGCTCTCTGAGAAGCCAGCTCTGGGGAAGCTGCAGCATACAGTTCCTGCCAGGAGATGCCTGTGTCCACATGGCTGGTCCTGACCTGGCTTGGAGGCTCCCCATTAGGGCTATGCCTCGCCCTCTGGTATGATCATACTCAATTCTAGGCGCCTTCCATAACCACTTGGTTTTTGCACATGTCATGGCCCCTGCTTGGGACACCTCTTCCTTCTTAGTATGGCTGACTCACCATTTTGCATACCTCTGCTAAGACAGCACATCATTCAGGAAGCTTTTAATGATGCCGTGAGTCTGCACTGGGCCTCTCCATGCACTGAGGTATCGGTTTGACTCTTAACAGTGCATTTTGCACATTGAGCCCTAATTGCTTGTGTACCTGTCTGCCCATCAGACTGGACTGGAAGCTCTTTGAGGACAAGGGTTGAGTCATGTTCCCAGCTATTTTCCCAGCATCATGGCTAACAGGTAATAGGCACTTATCGGGTGTTTGTTGAGTGAATGAATAAAAGATGACAGGCTGGAAGTGGGGTGCATAGGTGGGGTGGCAGAGGGTGGAAGTGTGTGGGCAGATCATATAAGGCTTGGATACCATGTGAAAGAGTTTGGGCTACTTCTGGAAGGCCATGGGGAGCCATTAAGGGCTATAAGCAGGGAAGCCATGATTAATTCTTCATGTGAGAAAGCGCTCTCTGGTCGTGCTGTGACAAGTGAGTTGGATGGGGACAGAAAGCCCAGGAGATCCCTCCAGGGGTCTCTCTGGGCCAGGCATGGATGGGACTTGGAATAGGGGGCGGGGTTCACCATGGCCAGGACAGCGCACTCTGAGGTGTAAGGTGATGCCTGCAGAACAGAGCCCCTTTGGTGCTTGTTTTCAGAGCCTTTGCTCCACGTCTCCCTGCCTTGAGGAACTGTGAGCCCCTTGCTGGAAGGGCCCCTGGCCTCTTTCCTCAGTGCCTTCCCCAGCCCAGGACACCAGCCTCCGCCTTCGCTTGGCAAGTCCTCAGTAGGGTGAGACAGTGGCCTCCCCACCCCCAGGGCAGTCCGGAAGGAGAGGCCACAGTCCTCGGCAGGTTAGCTCGGCAAGTTTATTGAAAACCCGGGAACACAAAGAGCAGTACAAACAGGCACCCACCCACCCCAAGCCTCCCTGGAAAGAGCAGGCACTAACCCTGCTGCAGCAACAGGGCAGAGGAACGGAGTGCTGGAGGCCGCCTCTCCACCCACCTTGGGATGTGCTGCCAGGGAAGGGAAACCAACAACACAGGAAGTAAGATGGCGACATGCAAGGCCTGGGAGAAGAACCACTGCGGGACACCTAGGGATCCCTGGCCTCCAAAGATGGTGGGTTCTTCGGGGCCAGGAAGAGAAGGAAAAAATCGTCTTCTGCCGGGGAAGGAAAGAGAAAGGAACTAGAGGCTGCGGGCCAAGGATGTGTCTGCAGTGCATTCTCCCCATTACTCCAAAACCAAGGTGGCTGTGGGGTGGGAACACATGCTTTGCGGCTTGCAGTGGTTCCTTTCCTCCCCAGGTGTGCTGCTGTCTGCAGCTGCACTGACTCTGCTCATCTAGAGGCTGTGAGTTGAGGGTGAGCGTGATCCCGGTGAAGGAAACCGGCAGTCAGGGAGAAGCCGGTCTGGCTGTGTAGTTATAGCATCTACAGGGTGAAAAATCCTCCAAGAGGGCCCGGCCCAGGCGCAGCCGCACCTGGGGAGAACACTGGAGAGCGTCCCGGCAGGAAGGCTGGCTGGAGACCATTCAGGGCCAAAGTCCGCACACCTCGGGGGACAGAAGCAGGGGACGTTCAGCTGGTTCTTCTCCGGGCAGTGGCCGTCTGGGGCTTGGCTCTCAGCGCCTGGCCCGGCGGGAGGTGGTAGTGGATGAGAAGCGGACGCTGGAGCTGCGGCTGCCCCGGCCACCGCTGCAGCTGCTGAAGCCGCCCTCCGTGGGCAGTGAGCAAGGGACACTGGGAACGCAGGCCTCCTCCACAATCACGGAGCCACCCCGGGCCCCACCTAGGCTCACACTGCCGGTGTGGATGCCGCTGCTGCCACCCAGGAAGGTGACGCCACGGGAAAGGGTAGAGCTGGAGAGCAATGGCTCAGGCCCACATACCACACCGCCCCGAGAGCTGCTCACAGCTGCAGAGAAGAGACCATCAGAGAGTCAGTGTCCGCTTTTCTTTCCCTTATGTGGGTGGCCCAAATACTATGACCACACTAAAATCAAACACCCAGATTAAAGTAGAGGAGTTCAAACTATTCCCCTAATGTTTGTATATTTCCATAGCTTGACTGTCATTTATCTATGGCCCACGTAGGTTGCGTTGTGGCCGGCAGGGAGTGGGTTGATCATGCAGGCTGCTGGAGCAGTAGCCTCCAGAAAGCCATGTGACTTCACTTTCCCATTATACTGTGCCTTCTGTTTCCCCTGGACAGCACCCAAGAAACCTGCCAGCGTGAGCCCCTTGTTAGCTCTCTCCTGACCCACCGGTGGCTCTGCTGTGTTAACCTCGGTATACACAGAAGAGAATTCAACCAACCCTTGCTCAGACAAGCTCCCACCCGCATGGTGCACACGCTTTTCTGTCCTCTCCTCTCACTGGAGTCCTTCTTGCCACCCGTGATCTCTGCTTGATTTTGACCTCCTACAGAAGGCCACTGCTTACTGCCCCTCCCCCTTGGGCCTCTCCTCTTAGCATGGGTAGTGCTGCCCATCTGACCCATCCGCGTCAGTGCTCAGTTCCACCCTGCATGTGGGCACATTTGTGTTTTGAGGGGCAGAGGTCTGGGTTTGGGTTCCGGCTATCTTGTGACTGCTAGCACGTCCTGTCTTTTCTCTGCGTGAAGCGAGCTGCTGTGCCTATGCCTGCTCCTTCCCCGGGGCCCTTCTAGGATTAGGGTGGCAGTGACTAAGCTCACCTTCTCAAGAAGGTTGAAATCCTACAGAGCAGGGGCTGAATTTGCTCCACCCTGAAGTGCCCAGCGCAGTGTCCTGCACGCCTTGGACACAACCAATACTGTGAAAATCTACTTTCAAACCCTGCTGGAGGGGAAACATCTATGAAACCTTGTCCTGTCACTGCCATCAGGGGGCGAGAGACCTCCTGGGCGCAGCCTCTTCATTCTCTCTGTCTCCGGATGGTTCCCTTGGAAGGTGAGGCTACTTAAATCAAAAAGGCTGATTCTCTTCTCGGGCCCTCTCCTACCGTGGAGGTGCTGGAACTCCTTTGCTCTAGGGAGCTCTCAGACCTCAGGGAGAACCTGCTCCCAGTCCAGGGGACAGATGATGGTCCCTGCACCCCTGGCCACCATCTCAGAAGCCTCCTGACTTCAGTATGAGTTTACAGGAAAATTGAAGGACAGAGCTATGTAAAGAGGAAAAGACCCAAGTTACTCACATATGTTTACTGGTCCAACACCTTCGCAGATCCTGGAGGGAGAAAGAAATGAATCAGTTCTTGGGTATTGTTCCTCCTCTGAACCTGCTTGCTTGAAAAAGCCTTTCTTCTTTGAATGGACCAGTGGACCAGCAGTTCTCAGCCCTGGCCGTACACATGTCTGGAAGTTTTGAAAAATGACACATTCTTACAGCCCACACCCAAATTATGAACTAAAATACTTGAGGACTGCCGGGTGTAATCCCAGCTACCTAGAAGCCTGAGACAGGAGAATCACAAGTTCAAGGCCAGCCTGGGCAACCTAGCAAGACTCTGTTTTAAAATAAAATTTTAAAAAGGGCTAGGGTTTTAGCTGAGTGGTAGAGAACTTGCCTAGCATGGGTTCCACAAAACATTCTGAGGAAATGTATTATTGTTATTGTTTTTAATGAATTAACTAAGCAACAAAACTCCCTATGAGCTGGTGCCGCTGGCCTTTGAGAACACAGATCTAAACCCCTCACAAAGGCAACTGGCTAATGCTTGCAGAAAATGTATCACTGTCTGTGCAGACTGCCCATCTGAGCAGTTCTTCACCTGGACAAACACCCCCCCCCCTTATGTGGTTACTCTTTCTAGATGCCTGACCTCATTCCCTCCTGCTGCACCAGGGGTGCTCACCGGATCTCCTCGCCCTCCAGCAGCCGCCTGTAGGTGGCGATCTCAATATCCAGGCCCAGCTTGGCATTCATGAGCTCCTGGTACTCCCGTAGCTGCCGCGCCATGTCCTGCTTGGCCTGCTGCAGGGCACCCTCCAGGTCTGCCAGCTTGCACTTGGCATCGTTGAGGGCTGCCTCACCCTGCTGTTCAGCCTCAGCCACTGCGGCTTCCAGCTTGGCCCGCTGCAGAAAGGGTAGTTTGCAGATGGGCGCTGGCTCCATTCCAGGGGTCATGGAGGGGTGTAGGAGGGTAGGGAGAGTACAGAGGCTTTGGTTCAGAAACCCTGCTAGGCGCGGATGGGATGGAGCCTGGTGCTGAGCCAGGTATGGAGCCTCCGGTGGCTGCTCAGTCCCCATCCCTACTGACTGTGCCCTTACTGATTTCTGCTATTCTGCGACTCACGGGGTCCAGAGAGTTACCTGTTCTTTCTCCCTTCCCTCATCCTCTTGGGAGCCACAGGCCTTTCCTTCTACGTGGGAGGCTTTCCTTCCGTTTCATATTTTCCTCCTCCAGGAAGACTTCCTGCATGAATGCTTCCTTCCTCCACTTCTGGGTCTTGCTGGGCTCCTTACCTCTCTAGACTGGGGCTCCTCAAAGATAGGGGCCCTGCTTCTCTTCCCTCTGTGGCTTTCTCTTATTTTTTTTTGCCTACCTGAGACTTGGCGTGCTCGATCTCTGCCTTCAGCCTCTGGATCAGCCGAGTCAGCTCGTTGATTTCATCCCGTGTGTTACGTAGGTTGTCACAGTGCTGACCAGCAGTCACGCGCATCTCCTCATACTAGGGAGGAGGAAGTGTTGTCAGGCTTCAAAGTCCGATCAAGACTACAGCCAGTTCCACAGAGCTGGAGTCTCAGACCCCCACTGGGTCCACCCTGCTGTATGAGTCCCCACCCCCCAGGTCTTCCTGCTCCCTTTCCTCAGCCTCTTAGTGCCCACCTTCGTCTGGTACCAGGCCTCAGCTTCAGCACGGCTGCGCCTGGCCACCTCCTCATACTGTGCCTTGACCTCAGCAATGATCCCATCCAGGTTCAGGTCTCGGCTGTTGTCCATCTTCACGATGACCGATGTCTCTGAAATGTGTGACTGCAGCAACCGGATTTCCTATGTTGGAGGAACAGCAAGACAGGTGGGCTCAGAGTCCCCTCTTTGTCTGGGGCTCTGCCACAGGGCTCCCACGTGGTGGTGTCAGGGCAGAAAGCATTGCTTATTGCTTGAGGACAAAGCAAGAACCTCAGTTTGGAAAAAGCCAGGTTTATTTTGGTTAGGATCCTTGCTGTAAGCTTAGAGATGCCACACTCCTCACCCTATGCGAGGTGAAATGTTTAGACTGGGGGCCTAGGAACTCAGTGGGGGGAATGGGAGCCATGCTAAGGGTTAAATATTCTCTGGCATATCCAAAAGTGTCTGTCCAGGAATTTCTATATCCCAAGTCCTTCATAGAACTGGGAGGCTGGAGCTGGCTGATAGTGCCCAGCCTCTTCACTTGGAGCTAGAAACTCAGTTTGGATTGGGTCTACTCCTGACCAACAGATCACCTTTGAAGCAAAGGAAAGCTAGTTGGTTTTGCATATTAGATCAAACACGATTTTTCTTATACTTCCTGTTAAGTCAGTTTTCTAGACTCTTGTGCCCAGAAGGTAGGAAATGACATTTCTAAACACCAATCTTTAGATTGGCCAATGAGGATTTGGATCATAGATGCAAGGGATCATTCATAGGCCCGAGCCAGGCTCTGAGAACCTGGCTTCCTTCACATTCTCCACTTGCAGATACATCACCATGGAGAACAAAAATGTTTGATACCAGAGTTGAAAACATGACAACCCAGACTAAGCCCTCACAGGGTTGAGGCCCAGCACTGATCTCCTTGGACGGCTTCAAGAAGAGACCTCACCTCCAAGTACAGAGCTTTCAAGAAGTCAATTTCCTGAGTTAGGGTATCCACGTTGGCTTCCAAATCAGATTTATGCAAGAAAGCTGTATCTACATCCTGCATAAAAAAGAAGGATAAGACACTTATTACCTATGCTCCACTTACCCTTCCCACCTACCCAGGGTCTGTAGATGAGTGGGAAGACCCTTCCCTCACAGGCCAACTCTTGAAGCTTTTGGGATGGGTGGAAGTGAAGCTTGGTGACTATCGCTCTTCTCCTTAACACAATGTGAAAATCCTCAGTGGCTGCTGGATATTCTTCAGTGCTTATTTAAAGGTAAGAAAGTCTGGATGTTTCATGACACTTCAATAAAAGCTCATCTTTTCAGATCTCTGCACTCATGCCACCCAATCCTAAATAATCTGAGGCCAAATCAGAACATTGAAGGGAGTCTGGTATCATCTTTGAAGCTGCACTGTCTTTGTGTGAGTAGTCCTAGATTCCACAGGGCTGCCTGGGTCGTTTCTGGGAGGATGGTCTGAGGACATTTCCCATCTGAAAATTTGTCTCGACCAATTGTTCTTCCTTACCTTCTTCAGAGCCACAAACTCGTTCTCAGCATTGGCTCGGAATCCCACCTCCTCTTCATACCTGGGATGATAAACAGGAGCAGGGTTGAGTTGTGTAAACTGGGTCAGTTACCCCTAAGACCTCTGTGAGCCCCTGTGAGCCTCTTACCACCCTTCTGATCCATTGAGGAGTATGACTTCCTGTTGCTATCAGCATACTACCATCCTTCTGTTATCTTTAAGGTCCTTTAAGAGCTAGCGGTCCTCAGTTCCTCTAATCCCTTTTACTTTTTCAACTTGGATTTGGAGCATTGCTATAATCTTCTGCTAGAAATGACTTAGGATCATTGCACTTGATCATAGAGGATGTAGGCCCAGCTCAATACTGAATATGGGTACCGTTTTCAGAACCAGAGGGCTGCATTTCTGGGGTCAACTTACCTATTCTCACTAGAAGTATTAGGGACAGATTGTGCCCAATTCCAAGACTTCATTTTTCTTAAGACCCACAGGGAACCTCTCCCACCCACATCACTGCCCCCCACCCCCATCCCCAGGCTGGGTATTATTGGTATTATGACCAATATTAGTCCCAAGGCTTTAGGTTGCTCTCATTTGAGGTGGGCTGCTGTTTTTGGATCAGCTCCCACATGTCCTTTGTGTTTGCAATCCAGGTGTCACTTACTTCTTCTTGAAGCCCTCAAGGACATCCTGCATGTGGTTCTTCTCAGCCTGCAGCCGGGCCTGGTCACTGACCAGTACATCCAGCTGCCTCCTCAGGTTGGTGATGTAGTTCTCGAAGAGAGGCTCCAGGTTACTCCTGGTACATTTTTGCTCTTGGAGGAAGCTCCACTTGGTCTCTAGCAGCTTATTCTGTTGCTCCAGAAACCTTACCTAAATCAGCAGGGACAAAGAAATGGCATTTGAGGTGCTTGGGAAGTTTACCACATGTTGGCTAGTTCTTCAGAGGTCTCGCAATGACTCTGTCACTGGTGACAGCGTTCTCTCCTCTGCTGACTTTCATCCCTCCTCTAACTCAGTAGAAGCTGGAAGATCAGATCTGTTCCCCCTCTCTTCATGTTCAGCCAGGCTTGGCTAAAAATAGAGGTGTTTGAATCAAAGCACTTCAGCCGCCCCAGGGCACAAGCTGGTTCATTTGGCGGTTAGAAATTTGATTCTGCTTAAGCTGGAGTTTGTCTGAAAAATTGATGTCAGCCACCCCTGGCACAGCATGAGGAGCCAAGGAAAGTACATTGGGGTAAGCTGTGCCGTCAGGAGATGGGATTCTGGGGTTGTAAACCACGTCAATCATCTCAGATACTGCTTCAGCTGAGATGTATACAGCTGAAAGGGAAATAATCACAACTCACTTCCCCCTAACCTCCTCCTATTAAACACAAGCACACTGGAGCTCAGAGGTTGCTTTCCAAGCCTGTGGCTCCGTCTGCACATGGACGTCCTCTGTGGGGCAGCAGTTCTTTTGCACAAGTCACATCACTGGCCCTTTGCAGTAGCCTGAAGATGGGTGTTCCCTATGTTTTCCTCAATCCAGGCAGCCTAGGTGAATCTTGGTCCCCCCGTTGTGGGGTATGAATTCTTGACCTTTCATATGAGAATTACTTAATTCTGTTTCCCCCTTTGCTAGGCCTGAACAGATGAGGCCACCCAGCCTCAGATACTAGGAGACTCTCATCAAGAGCATAAGGATCTCAAAAGAGAAACCCTTTAAACTTATACCACCTGATCCCAGGCTGAAGTCTCAGTGTTGCTAGCCTGTGCAGGAGACATTGCCAGGGGAGCAGATAGTAGGCCTTAGTTTGCTCAGATGCTCTCCAATTTGTCTGGGTGTTCCTCTTCCCTCCAGAAGAATTAACCAGTGTCAGCCTATCTCACCATATGGCAGCTCCTCTGGCTTGTCCTTGCTCAGTGGCAGAGCAACCTAGGACTCAGATCTCAGTGCCTTTGCTGGGGCATATGAAGGATCTGGTGTCAAAGGCAATGTCCCCAACCTGGACCAGCTCTTGTGAAAGGAAAGAGCACTGCAGTCCACTTTAGCACTTATCATCCCAAACCCAGAGATTCAGCTATCATAGGTACCTTGTCAATGAAGGAGGCAAACTTGTTGTTGAGGGTCTTGATTTGCTCTTTCTCATCTTTCTTCACCCTCTGGGCATTGGGGTCGATTTCCAAGTTGAGGGGGGTCAGCAGGCTCTGGTTAACAGTCACAGCTGTGATAGATGGGGCTGCCGGGCCTCCAACACCAACTCCAACTCTGTAGCCAAAGCCAGGCCCACCAAAACCATAGCCAAGGCCACTGCCAGCTCCAAACCCCAGACCAACACTGCTGCCAGCTCTAAACCCCAGACCAACACCACTACCGAAGGCTACGCCACTGCCAGCACCAAAGCCAACTCCGCAGTGGAAGGGACGAGGGCCCACAGCTGCTATCCGGGGTGAGTAAGATCCAAAGTTGATGACACTCCGACTACCAAAGCCACCCCGACCCCGGAAGCCAGAGCCACTCCTGCAGGAGACAGAGCTGGCCCTGAAGTGATTCTGGGGGGTCGCAGCCGAGCAAGAGCTGAAGTTGCCCACCCGGCGACTTGAGCTGACTCTGTAGGAGCGGCAAGACATGATGACTTCTTGGGTGACAGCTGAGCAGCAACTGTAGAGAGGGGTGAGCTGGAGCTGGGAGTCCTTTTGAGACTAGTGGATCCTTCTCTCCCCTTTTATCTGTGTGGAAACCTGAGGATTGGCCCCATAAAAACGAAAAAGCCATTTGAAGGCATTTATGAGCTTGGGTAGTGAGCAGAAACTCTTCATGCCTGTAACCTCCTTAACAATGAGCTAACTCAGACACACCTATTCTCAGCAGGATGAGGACTGTCACATCAGACCTATAAACATTAAAAACACATAAACACATAAACATTATGGTACTATTTTTTCCCATAAGTCTACCACAATTGCCATTACAGGGACATTAATTTGCTTTGGTCATAAATCCAAAGACTTTTTCACTGCAAAGCGGCTAACCACCAGAAAGTTAGGATGGTAACAGTTCCAGCCAGAGTCTTACAGGGGATGCATCTATGTAGATTTAATGCCCTAAAACAAGGAGGGGTATGCAAAGGGCAAACAGGGTCTTCACAGCACCAAGGAAGAAACTATAAGGAGAGAACATAGTGTGTGGTATCTCTGTAGACAGATAAATAATAATCTTTTTTCAGTGTTTCATCTATTCTCCATGATCTAGCTTTGGCTGTTTACATAAGAATGAATCTACAGCAAAGCTCATTTGGGCTGGTGTAGACACATCTCTGATTGGAAAGGCTGAAAGGAGTTTCACTCATTTGGCAGTTATTGAGTACCTACTCTGCACCAGGCCATGTCTTCTGTATGTAAACATACCTGCCTGATCTAATGTCACACCCCTTAGCAAATATACCGCAGGACTGATTTGAGGTCAGGCCCATGCAGATCTCTTGTATAATTGTTAGGACACAGAGATGCAAAGCAAGAAGCATCTGGAGGGAAAATAAAAATGGATATTGTTATTATTGTTAGCAGCATTGTAGCTATTCAGGACCCAGAGGAGGCTGGTGTTTACTTTTCCTGTTCAATGTGTGGCTTGGTTTGTCCTTCTCGTCCTGTGCCTGGGACAGCTTTTGTTGGGCTGGATGCTTGGATTCTTTCAGACGCTTTGGATTCTCATTAGAAGGGGATACGGGATTTTGACAGGAAGTATCCAGCTCAGGTGGGCACTACTGTGTTTTCTACAGACACAAATCCTGGAAAAGACACAGAGAAATGAAGAACTAGAGAATACGTGTCAAGATCACAAACAGCAAACAGCCTCGGTGTTGCTGAGTTCAGCGTCTGTTCTCAGGGCTCGTTTCTCCCGACTTAGCGGCAGTATTTGATGTAACCGACAAGCCCATTTCCTCGACACGCTTTCTCCTTCTCATTTCCGAAGAGCATGTCCTCCCAATTCCTTGCCACTCTTTTCAGTCTTCTTGGCCGAAGACTCCTCCTCATGAGGACTTGGAACTCCTCCTCATGTCCCTAAGCTCTCTCCACACCCAAGCATCCCTGGGCTCAGCCCTTGTTCCTTTTCTCATCTTTGCCTACACTCAAGAGGCTTGGGACTTTAAATACTCTCTGCCCAACAAAGACTGCTAGGGCAGATCCTTACCCTACCTACCCTCCCGCCATGTGCCACCTGTATATTTGAATGGGTGTCTCCATTTTGGTGTGAGATAGGCATCTCAAATGTAGCATATCCCAAAACATTCCCCTACTCATTCCCACTAAATACTTTCTACCTGCCAGCATCACTGCCCCTGTAGTAGCTCAGGCCAAAAATCTTGGAGTCCTCCTTTCCCCACTAGTTTCTGCTGTATCCTTTATCCTGTACATTGACAAATTTACCTTCAAAATATATCTGACTACTTTTGGTATCCCCCTGCTCCCAGGTTGGCCCATGTCCTTCCTTCTTGCCTCCCTGGGTCCACGGAACCATCCTTCTAGCTAGTTTCCCAGCTTCCTCCTCTATCTCTTCAGACTTTTCTCAAGCCCACACCCAAGGGCATCCTTGAAAAACCTGTTAGTTACAGTGCATCATTTCTGTGCTCACAGCCCTCAGAGACAAGGCCATGCCAGACTCTCCGCAGTGAGCCTCCTCTTCCTGGCCTCGTGTCCCGCCACCTGTCCTACTACTTGCTGTGCTCTGGCCACTCTGGCCTCCTGCTTGTCTGTAGAACAGGCGGGCACACTCACGCCTCAGACTCTTACCCACTTGCTGTTTTCACTGCTGAGACCATTTCCCTCACACAACCCCTTGGCCCTAGCTCCCTCAACTCTTGCAGGTCTTTGTTCATATGTCCCCTTTTTCTCCTCTACTGATGCTCCCTGTCTCATGCACTCACTGTCACCTGTCCCCTCTCCTTAGCAAGCCAGGTCCTCTCTTGCATGGTTTGCCTGTCTTCCCTGGCTGGGGTATAAGCTCTGGGAAGCAGCACTGTTATAAGTTTAGTTCTCCTGGTGTCCCCAGGGCTTGAGAAAGTGGGCACAAGGTAGGCATGCTACCCAGTTTTGTTGAATGACTGAATATACTGCAGAGCTTAAAAGCGGGAAGAGAAAGGGAGAGATGGAGTGGGGTGTTGGGTTTTGCAGACATTTTAGGAAGAGGAGATTCCAGGCACAACATAGGTAGGAACAGCCCTGAGGAGGCCAGTGGGGCAGAAAGGCAGGAGCTCACAAGAGAATCAAACTAGTTTTCCCCACAGCTCTGGCCTCTTGGACTTGAGTCTGTTTTCTTGGAGGAAAGGGCACCCCACTCCTCTGGGCAAAGGCAGGGGGTCCCAGGAGATTGGGAAGGAGACCAGAGGACCCCTGCTTAGGTGAAAGGTAGAGAGGTAGGACTGTGTAAAGGTCACCAGTGAGGACAGGTGACTTGATACAGACTTTGGGGTCAAATGGACCCAGGTTTTTTTTTTTGTGTGTGTATGTTTTTGAGATAGGCTCTTGCTATATAGTTCAGGTTGGCCTTGAGCTCACTTTGTAGCTCAGGTTGGCCTCAAACTCGCAGTGATCCTCCTGCCTCAGCCTCCCAAACGCTGGTATTACAGGCATACACCACCATGCCAGCTGGACCCAGGTTTAATCCCAGTTTTGCCACTCACCAGCAGTGTGACCTGGGACAGTGGTGGTATGAGGGCAAGGTGGTGGTAGCATTCTGCTCAGGGAGGTACTGTATATGATAATCAAAAGGGGTTCTTGTCTGCAGAGAGCCTAAAAACAATGACACCATTAACTAAAAGTTCCTCTGCTTTCTATGATTGCTGTGCACTGGCCATTCCAAATAATGGTAATCAAATACTGCCCTGATTCATGGTGCATCGATGACCGTGGGGGAATTTCTTGACCTGTCTGAGCCTCAGCTCCCTCCTGTGTGGTGTGGAATGGGACCCACTTCTCCATGTTCTGGGATGCACGCGGACCTATCTGGGATGTGTGCTGGTGGGCCTGTCGCTGTCCCCATGTCCCACTGCTCTCCTCCTTCCCACCCTTTCTCTGCCCTGTTTTCTTTCTCTGGCTCAATCCTCCCTGCACTTCTCAGCAGTCCTCCCTGTCCTGGCCCCACACCCCACACCCCTTGGCGAAGGTGCTCATTACCCCATTAGGCGGCCTTCCCGGGCTTTCCCGATCTCGGCTTCCTTGAACCCTGAGCAGGCTGGGTGGGGTGGGGGTGATTGGGACCAGTCAAGCATAACCCTGTCACCATCAGCACTTTATAGTTCTGAGACATTATTTCGCCAGACGATGCATAACACAACCCTCAGCCATTTTCTAGGGGGTGGCAGGTGGAGAGGGGGAGGAGTTGTCCCGGCAACTCTGGGCTGGAGGTTTTGCTGCTGTGACAGTTTCTTCCTGCTGTCATCAGCCAGCCTGAGTGTAATCCTGGAGATCTGCTGGCTGAGCCCGCAGTGGCTCCTCTGTGGGATGACTGCGCCCACTGCTGGGTCATCCTGATGCTATCTGCAGAGGAGGGAGGGAGGAGGAGGAAGAGGCCCGCCTAGTGGAGGGGGAGGCGTCTCCCCTCTGGTTGGCTGAGCTGGGTTCGGGAGCCCTGGGCTTGCTGTGGCTGGGTGTGTGGGTGTGTGTGGGAAGATGGACCCGAGGGGAAGCCCAGGTGCTGAGAAGGCTTTACTGAAAGCCTTCTTCGAGTGCTTCCGTTTTGCCTGGGGACAAGTTTGTGCTGGAGAGAAGTACTGTCTGGGGAGTCCTTCATGCTGAGACCTGTACCCGTGGGGGAAGCCAGCTGGAGTCCCCAGCAGGAGACCGGGGCAGAGGGGAGGCTGCCCTGCCCTTGCCTGAACCTCCACTTCTGCCCTCTCAGACCACTTGTTCAGAATCCAAAACCCTTCCCCAAGGGAGGGAAATCACTCCCTCTCGCTGGGTATCCCCCTGTTCTGGGAAGGGGATTTCAGGTTTTGTCAAAGTCTTTCACATTGCCTGTGGTCACCTGTCCAGAGCAAAAGTGTTCGTGGCAGGCGTCATGCTGCCGCTGAATGCTCCTGTGTGCCTGATACTGCACTAGGTGCTAGCATTTGGGCAGCCCCCTTCCTGCCGTCAGACCCAGTGACCCTGGGCTCCTCCCCTTTGCTCATGGGCCATTTTTGAAGACATTGGCCCTAATGTTTGGAAACTCCAGTGAAGAAAGCAGTGGGTCACAGAGGTGACTGCGTGAGGAGAAGCCACTGGGGGCAGAGGCAGAGGGCTCTGGGGAGGGGCAGGGAAGGCCTCATAGGGAGAGGAGGCTGGGTCTTCCCATCCTCTTAATGCTTCTTGATGCCATTTCTGCGAGGGGCTGGGGCTTGGATTCTCCAGGCAGATTCTGGCAGCTCTGGCTTTTTGCGATGTTTTTCCTTTCTCTTAGAGGGCAGCAGGCCCTGACACTTCTTCCTGTTTCCTGGTGCCCGGCGAGGCAGGCCAGAGAAGAGTTTGCCTAGCAGAGTGGAACTAGAGCACTGAGAGCACTGGGCCACCACTAGGAGGCACTTTTGTCCCACCTGCCTTGACTCATCTCCTCCTCTGTGGGGAGGGGAGAATGGGCCACTTGCTGACAGTGAGGAGAGGGGCGTCCCACATAGATGTTTTGGAGGGGACGTGCCCAGGCCTCTGAGCTTCTGTCCAGAGCTGAGCTGCGACACTCCGCTGTTGCGATGAGTAGTGTTAGTGATGGTTCCAATGTCCTCCCTTCCCCAGCACACACTCCCGAGGGGCCTGCGTGCTCTAGAACCAAAGTCTCAAAGAGATAGTCATTAGGCCAGAGCCCTCAACTGGGGAAAAGCAATCATCTTTATTTTTACCTCACCCGAACACCTAAGTGGGGTTATTTACCAGGCTTCAGGTAGTCATCTGTGATATAGGGGTGGTTGATCTCCTTGGTATCTGTTTTTGTTGACTCTGGGCCAAAACATCCCTGTCATTTCCAGAGCTCTGAGGTATTAATCAGCAGGGAGCTTAGCTGGCACCAGGGCCAGGGCCAGAGCAATGAGGCTTCAAGTGGAAACCGAGGCTCTGGGGCTGACCCTTTCCCTCCCTCTTTCCCCAGTACATGGAGACTGATCTCTGAGTCCCTGGCTCTCAGCCACACATCCCTCTACCTGGAGGCTCCCAGCCAGGCTACCTTCCCCTCACAGTTCCACAGGCCTCGAGGATTCAGGTTTGCCTGCCACCCACTGGAGAGTGTCCTACGTCCTGTGACTAAGGTGACCCCTCAGTTCTGTCTCCCATGGCCTTGCCACCTCCATAGAAATCCTCGCAGCTCTAACTTCGAGTCCCAGGCCTGTATTCCCTGCTGGGCTATAGCTCCGAGGGCTTGGGCCAGCTCCCCACTCCTCTTACATTCTTTTCGAGATATAATTCTCATTACCACACAATCCGCTCATTTAGAATTACAATTCAGCGGTTTTTAGCATATTTACCAGTTTTATAGCCATCACTACCATCAGTTTTAGAACACTGTCATCACCCCAAAAAGTAACCTTTAGGCATCGCCCCAACTCATATCCCCACCTCCTGCCAGCCTTAAGGTTATACTACTCAGCTCTCTATCTCTACAGGTTTCTTTGTTCCTGGACTTTCTGTGTATTTATAATGTGAATGGACTATGTGATGAATGGTCTTTTGTGACCAGTTTCTTTCCGTTCTCATAATGTTTTCAGATTCACTAGTGAGGTAGCATGTATCAGCTCCATCCCTTTTTATAGTCAAAATAACATTCTATTGTATGGTTGTGCTGTATTTTGTTCATCTGTTGGTAGGCATTTGAGCTGTTCCCACTTTTTTAGATGTTATGAATAATATTTCAAGTTTGTGTGGGGTCATGTTCCTTTCTTTTGCGGATAGACATAGGGGTAGAATTGCTGGGTCTTCTGACGGAGGGTTTTGAGGACCTGCCTGGCTGTTTCCTACAGTGGAAGAGTTGTTTTCTCTTATGTTCCTTATCCTGGGCCCTGGGTACTGAGCCTACTGCGCCTACGGGGCTGTCTCATTCTCCTGCCAGTCCGTGGGTGGCCTGACCCAAACAGTGCTTGATAAATTCCCTATTGCATGAATGAAAAAGTAAACAAATGGTTTGTTTTGAGCATGTTGCCTATGAACCGGTAACTCTAGGGTTCTTTTCTTGCAATTTTCCCTGTGAGTCTCTCTCTGACCTTCTTCCCAGCATAATCATTAGTTGCTACGTGTTATTCTCATACTTTTTGGCATTATTATTTACGACGCAATTAGTTATGATTCCTCTGTGAGGCTGAGAGTCCCTCCAGGGGTAAGAAGCATCTTTGTCATCTCTGTCTTGGCGCAGGGGTGGGTGCTCTCTGTGGCTGTGGGGTGGGGAGGCTCATCTCAACACTTAGGAGGGGCCCCATAAAGAGCAGAAAGCCCCTGAAGAGGAGCTGTTTCTGGCATCACTGAGGCAACAGGGAAAGGTACAGGGGACTCACAGATGGTGGAATCCATTCACTGCCACTAAACTTTTTCTCTGGCTCTTGGGGTTCTTTACATGCGATAAGGTTGAGCGTCTTGTTTATTTTCCCATGGTGGGCTGTCACCTGTCTTCACTACTTTCTCCAAGTCAGTCTGCCCAGGCCCTGGGAATAGTCCAGGATAGGGGACACAGGCCCCTTAGGGCCCTAGCAGGCTTAGGGCCTGCTAAATCCTAATGTGACAGGGGCCCCATGGATTTTCTCTAGACTGCATATAGGGCCCTATGTATTGAGGAGATCTGTGTGCAATAGTTATGGTTTTTAATGCCACAAATGACTTGCAAACTATTGGGGGATGACGTGCAGGCTTTAAGTACAATTTGTATGGAGCCATATTTGCTCCACAGGTCACTTACAAATTGTTTACATGGCATTTTCCCATCGCCATAGCAACTTTTTTCCATTCCCAAGCCTCTAGTCTTATAAGGCTGCTCCTGATTCCCTTTAGCCTTATTGCGTATCCTGTACAGAGCAGAGGTGAGTAATCTTAATTTCCACAGTGTAAACAGAGTCAGTTTATTGGTAACAGAGAGCCCAGAGGCTCCTGGCAGAGAAATTGAATCCTAGATGGGTGGGACTCGTAGGAGGGTATCCTGGAGGGTGGGATCAGCCCAGCATCCCCTCTCCCTTCCCCAGAACTAAACTAGAGCTTCTAATTGCTAAGGCCACCATACAGACCTATAGCAGGGAAATCTGCATTCCTGTCAGACCCAAAGTCCCAAAGCAAGAAGAACTGAAGGGGAAGGAGCAGGAATTGGGTGGGGGTGACGGTGTACAGTGGGGGTGAGACTTGATTCCACTGAACGAATAACGTAAGTTCTTGATTCTCCATCTGTCCAGTAACAATTCCATGGCACTTTGGCCTTTGTTCTAAATACTTCCTGCCATCATCTGCCAATGTGAGCTCAGGGAACAAGACTTATTTTCATAGTTTAGTTTCAGTATACCCGAGCAAGTAAATCTATTGTCCAAAGAACACCTCTTGAGTTTTGTGCTGGAAGGACAGTGTCAGATCCTGAGTGATCCTGAAACTGTGGCACTTGTTTTTGGAAATCAGGATGGTATTTGGGGGATTTTAGTGTTTGCAATAGTGCATGTTTCCAATGGGTGCTAAAAGAAGTTCATTTTTCTAAGGTGCGTGAGAACCAGAGGGAAGCGAGGTGGGGAGCCGTGGTGGGGTGGGGAGGAATGGCTGGCTTTGTGGGGAAACTGCCATGGACCTCCCACAAAGCAGAACTGTGAGGTGTCCACTTAGCCTTCTCATGCAGGACAGCAGTGGTTGGGAATACTGCCATTCTTTTGGTCATACTAGGGCTGACGTTCGCCAGGAGCAATGCATCCTCTTTCTCTGCATCTCACCCCATCCCAGGGCCCTCCATTGGGTTCTGCACCTGGCTACATGAAAGATGGCTTTTGAAGATAAGGATGGACCTGAGGAGCAGCTCAGTTCCCAGCGGAAACCCCAGGGGAATCTAGAGTCAATATGGGAAGGTGGGGCTTTAAAATAGTGACATTCAGGGATTGTCCCTTGGATTTCCAGCCTTTGGGTCAGTGCTAACTCTAGTGACTGCAGGAGCTGCCCCCGGCCCCCAGCTTCATGCTGGAGATCCTCCTGCTCCCACAGCCCACAAGCCCCTGGGGCTCGCAGGGGATGTAGAGTTCACCAGTGGACACCATGCTGCAGCCCCCACTGTTCCTGAGGACGCTGGTGCTCCCAGTGCAGTACTCAGGTCTCAGCACAGGCGTGCTGACCACACATGGCTCGTACAGGATGGCGCCTTTGGAGCTGCTCACAGCTGTGGGGACAGGGAGTGAGACTCAGGGCCCCATCTTACATAACTCAGACAGCGGTCCTGAAACACCTCAGCTGGGCCATTACTCTTACCTATTGCCACTCACCTTCAAAGATACCCATCCCAGCTACAACTTCCATGTCTCCCCATCCTAGCCTCGTCCAGGGCTTGGAAGTGCCCCCTATTCTCCTCCCCTCTCCCTGGAGGCTTGTCGAGGCCTAGCCTGATGTCTGCTTCACTCCCTCCAGGTCTCGCCTGAGCCTGCTTCAAACCCTTGAACTCTAGCAAAGCATTCTCTTGTCAGGGTGGCTCCTGGAGACTTTGGGGATCATGCTGTGCACGTGTTCATAGTTTCAGCCCCTCAAAGATACGGATAGCCCTGCCAGAGAACTTCTCCATCAGCCCAGGGCTCCTAGCAGACAAGGCCCTTCCTGCTGGGTGGGGGAGCCGCTGAGGCCTGTGTGGATAGTGTGGGCTTTTGTGTTGGGCTGAGCAACTCCTGAGCCTAAGACCTCCGGGGACGTGGCTACTTACAGATGTTCACGGGCCCAATGCCTTCACACAACCTGGGAACAGGAAGGAGAAAACACAATGACTGCATTAGAGAGATTCAAGGAGCACCTCCCTTCCTCTACCCTCATCCTACAAAAGAGGAGGGCTCGGGCCCCTGGGGTGTTCTGGGTTTTCCTTGATTGGTGGCTGAGTAACAGCCTAAGCTCAGGAGAGCAGACGCCCCTGGTGCCCCTCCTTCAAGCTCACCTGTGCTCCTCGCCTTCCAGCAGGCGCCTGTAGGTGGCGATCTCGATGTCCAGGCCCAGCTTGGAGTTCATCACCTCCTGGTACTCCTTCAGCAGGCAGGCCATGTCCTGCTTGGCCTTCTGCAGGGCCTCCTCCAGCCCTGCCAGCTTGCACTTGGCATCATTGAGGGCTGCCTCACCCTTCTGCTCAGCCTCAGCGATGGCCCCCTCTAGTCGGCAGCGCTGGAAGGGACGGCATAGCAAGGCATCACAGGGAAGCCCAGAACCCTGAGCAAGATCCTCAGAATAGCAAGGGGAACACATGGTGGTACCTGCCAGGTCCAAATGTGCTGTGGATTTCACCCTAGGAGTGTGACATCTGCTCCTCCTGAGAAGTGGAAGCCATTTTCTGTCTAAAACACTGGAGGGGGACCTGAGACTTTCCTCTTGGATATGCTCAGCAATGAAGAGGGTGGGCGGGTTGAGGGTCTAATAGATTTTAAGTGCCTGGCTGATCTTTGCTAGCCTAGGAGAATAGCATGGGTCTAATTTTATGAGCAACTTACGGTCACCTTCATGTTTACAGTTAGAGGTTTGGAGTCTGGGTTTGAAGGGACTGTGGAGAAATCTTTCCTCTACCCGCTGTGACTTCACCTCTGACAGTAGGTTGCCTGGCCACTGTTGGGGACCTGGCTGTTTCCTGAGGCTGCTCATCGCCCCTGGTAGTGGTCCTCTTGTATAGACAGAGCTTGCTTCCTCCTACGCAAGGTGGCCCAGGTTTGTCCCTTTGCCAGCTGCACTCACTGCAGAGGTTGGACCTGCCCACATCACCCTGCTCTCTGGGTCAGGGTCTCATCGGCCCTGCTCATCTCACCTGGGCCTTCACAGTCTCAGTGTCTTGCTGCAGCCTCTGGATCAGCTTGTTCATTTCCAGGATCTCATTCTTGCGGTTGCGGAGGTTGTCGCTGTGGTTCCCGGCTGTCACCCTCAGCTCCTCGTACTGCCGGGACATAGAGGTCAGAACCCAGGCCCCGCACCGTGGCATTGCCTAGCCCCTGTCTCACTGTTCTCCTGTGACACCTCGGCTCCTTTCACCTCTTTGGCTTCTTCTGCCTGCCCTGCTTCCAATCCCCTTCTCAGTGCTGATCAGGTTTGGGGTCCTTACGTGGCTGCTTCCCGTTCCCATCTTGCCCCCTCAGCCCTCAGCCTCAGGCTTGTTAAGTTTCCCTCCAAGCTCTAAGACCTTTCCTCTGTGCCAGAGCTCAGGGCTCTCTCTCTTTTAGATGACGCTGTGGACCTTGGAAGGGGTTTCTGGGCTCAGGCTCCAGGGCTAACAGACCAAGGACCCGAAACAACTGGAAAAAAAACGCAGTGTTATGTCCTACCTTGGCCTAATCCTTTTTTTCTTTTTGGCTTTTTGACTTTAAATCCAATTTCTGAGGAGCGGTTCTATACAAATTACATTTATAGAGTTTTAAGGAATCAACCAACTTTAGATTTTCTGGTAGTTTGTGGGGACACCTTGTACAGAGAATACATAACAGGATGCAGGTATACTCTTTGGCTCTTTTGTCATTTGGTTACTATGGCAAGCCCGAAGTTGTCTGACTAATATTCACTCTTCTTTCCTTAAAACAGAACCCTGTGAGCCCAGACACAAGAATATTTCTGGGCCTTCTGAGCAAAGAGATCTATTACCATCGCTGGGCAGAGCTTCTTGGAAAGCTCTGTAAGTGGGGAATGACTCAGCTGGCATGTTTCTTCATGTTTCTCCTTTTTTCCTTCCTAGCACAAGTGTGTGACTTTGGAGGTATTGCAGCTATCTCGGGATATGAGGCAACCGCGAACGTGAAAACACATGTTAAACATGGCAGAATGGATAGCTGGATTTCTGGGCCCCTGATACTTCTCTGTCATGCTGGGCATTATATATTTGTATTTTGTTATCTGAGAAAAAGGTAAAAACTGAGCTTGTTTTAAAAAACTTCTGATCCTTGTGGTTAAATACAATCCTTAACTAATAGACATTGTCTTTACCATTCTGCTGGTGGAAAAGTAAGTTCACATTCCTGGAGCCCACCTGAATGGTGGGTAACACAGGCGCAGCCAGAAGAGCGGACTGCTGGGTGCAACCTGGCCCGTAGATGGTCACACCTGAGCCAGCAGGGCTGACTGCTGCCAGGGTTCGTAACGTCTGATTACCCTAGATCTTCAGACCATAGGCAGAGTGTCACTGGAGGCACCCAATGTACAGTAGCACCCGTGACCTCCGAGGAAAGTCCTCAGTATTAGCGCAGCTCTGCAGAGGTGCCGGCCCCGGCCCCAGGTAGTCTGTGCAGCCTGATCTCCTTCATAGCGTACAGCACAGCGGGGGTTGCACTGCAGCTCCCTGGCCAGGCACACTCTTCTCCCATTCTCTGCTTACTGACATCTTCCTTGTGCTTCAAGAGCAGATCGGATGACGGTGCCTCTATCTTCCCAGACATGCTTTATGGTTTTTGTCATCAACTCCCTGGACCTGCTGCCTGACCTTGGCGTGCTCCCTGTGCTTAGGTTTGGTTGGTCACCCCCTCACCACCCTGGCAACCTCCTTGCGAACACGGGTGGTCTAAGGTTTGGTATCCTTAGTGCCACCACATCCTTCCCTGGCTCCTCCCTCGAACGCTCACACTCTCACAATACCCCCTCACCCTTCACACTGGTTTATTTTCTCAGTAGCGTGCACCAACGTCTACCACGCATCCTCTGTACTTATTGGCTTTGTTTCTTTTCTTTTCTTTTTTTTTTTTTTGTACCGGGAATTGAACTCATGACTTCAGGCTTGCCAGGCAAGCGCTTATGTCACTGAGCTATATCCCCGGCTTGGCTTTGTTTCTTGTCTACTGCCCTCAACCCCAGCAGAAAACGAGGACAGGGACTGCTGCCTGTCCTGTCCCCGGCTGAATCTCCAGCTCCTAGCTCTGAGCTTGGCACATGGTGAGTGTCCAACAAATAGGTCCTGGCTGAATGCACCAGCCAGTAATGATCGCATGCGAGGTGGCTTTTGTAGGCAGGGCAGTGGGACTAAGATGATAATATTTGTTAAATCATATTGCCCCGAAGGCTCCCCTTGCCTTCCCGTAAGCCCCTAATTACTGAGTCTGGGCCACTTTAATCACGGTCTCTGCCCCACCATTAGTCATCACCCCATGCCACCAGCTTCCTCCCTCGCCTTGAAGCCCAGAGCCTCCTTTGCCATCATCTCCAATTATATGTACTGGATGCTGCTTAGAGGAACATCTGATGAGCACACAGGTAAATACACCTGGGTCCCAGCACCCCAGTGACAGGCCTGGGCTGTCTGTGGGTCCGTCCCACATAACCTACAGGGACCCGGCCTTAGGCCCAGCAGAAACAACAGGCTGGGTTTATGGGATTCCCTGATGCTGTGGTGTGGCCACAGCCTTCATTAGCTCTGTACCCATCACTTCCTGGGGCAGAGGGCATCTAGAGGTCCTCCCCGCCCCCATCCCATTCTCCATTCCTTCCCCACACCGCCCCCACCGCAGCCTTGTCCCTCTGCATCTTAGCCTCACCTGGCGCTGGTACCAGGCCTCCAGTTCGGCTTTGCTGCGTCTGGAGATTTCTTCATATTGGGTCTTGATTTCAGCAATGATGTCATCCACATCCAGATCCCGGCTATTGTCCATCTGCACGATGACCGACGTTTCGGAGATCTGAGACTGCAGCAGCGCGATCTCCTGGGGAGAAGAGATGAGAGGATGGGGCAGGGAGCGGGGAGGGAGAGCCAGCTCCAGCCTCCCCCCATGGCGCATTTGCACAGGACGGGGCTGTAACTATTCCCAGACTTCCATCATCAAGGTGCTCCTTGTCCCCTTCCTTTAGTGACTGAGCTTTCTCAGAGGGCCTGAGAGCCAAGGAGCTGGGTGGCCCACCTTCTGGTCACCTCACTCTCTGAGCACCAGCCTTCCCACTGGGACCTCTTCCTGAGCTTCTGGAATTTCTCACAGAAACACAGCACTCGGCACATTCCCCCCCCACCAGCTTTTTTAGCACAGCCCCTGGCCCACCACCTAGAAGGCAGCATAGCTGTAGGTACCTCTTCAAACAAATTTTTCAGGAAGTTCATCTCCAGCTCGAGAGCCTCCACATTGGTCTCCAGGTCAGCTTTCACCAAGAAGGCCGTGTCCACATCCTACAGCAGGGCAGGGATGGAACCATGAGCCAGAGCATGGAGGGGCCATACCTCTTCCAGCTAGGCACATCCCTGGCCAGCTGGCGGCAACTGGTAGGTGTGGGCCCACCTCTCTTCACTGAGGCCCACGTGAAAATTCAGGGGGCACCCTTATCGGGGAGGGATTGGAAGGGAGGAGTCTTAAATGTGGGTCCTCAGAGCTTCTTCTGCAGAACTTGGCTTGCAAATATTTGGCTTTTTATCTGAGGAATCACGGCAATTATTTTCGTCTTTGGGGATTTGAGTCAGAGTTTTGTTTTATCTTTGACTTCGCATTAGCCACACTTCCAGCTGGTTGGGCCGGTGTAGATGCTACCCTTATCCAGCTTTGGTCCATAGGAGTTGGGGGTGAGGCAGGCCAATCTCTGCCCCTTTGCAAGGAGGCTGGGTGTGGGGAGGACACTGGCCTTCCTCTCTCCCAGGGTAATGGAGCTGACATAGAAGTCTGAGAGATAAAGATCCTTGGATGAGTGGGTGGGCTGTGGACACATCTGGACACAGTCCAGCTCCCTCCCACCTCTCTGTGCCTCCTCCTCACCTTCTTCAGGGTGACAAATTCATTCTCAGCACAGGGACGCAGGGAGAGCTCATCTTCATACCTGGCAGGATGATGGAGAGGTGTTACTCAGGCATGTGGAGTTTGGAAGGGATCTGGGGTTAGATCTTTAGGAACCTCTATGCCGTTGCTAACTGACTGACTGACCTGCCTCTGGACACTTGCTGTTCCTCCTCCACTCAAGACAGGTGATTATTACCAGAGCTTCTCACAGCCACCTTCCAAGCTTATGCCCTCCCACTCCGGTTTCTGCGATGAGTCATCTTCCAGGAAGTCCTCCTGGAGGCTCCCTGCGCTCCCTCTTGCTGTGGAGGAGGCCCCCCACCTTGTTGTTTCCTCTGGGAATCTGAGAGAGGTGGTGCTGCTGGCCTGGCCAGCCTTACTGAGCTATTCTGAACTGGCTGCAGCCCCTAAAATTTCTTGTGCAAGGGGTGCCAAGCCTGGCCCCAACTGAAGCCCAGTGGCAGAGGTAGCAATTAACCGCTTCACTAGACTCCTGGAGGCAGCCTCACTATGTGCCCAGGCTCCTTGGCACACACATTGCTCCCCTGAGGTACAGGGATCAGAGCTGAGGTTCACCCTGGCCAGAGTATTCATTTGGTGAACAGTATCCATCCATTAGAAGTTTCTCTGAGCTTCTGGTTGCCCATTTCTCCCTTGCCCAGCAGAGTCTGCCCAGCTGTAATGCTGGGCTTCAGAGCTCACTGCCCTGCTTTGAATCCCCCTCTGTCACTTGCTAGTCATGGGCAAGTGAGTTGGGGGACTTGACCTCTGCACCTCATCTCTTACCTGCCACTGTCTGCTACAGGTGTCCCCTCACTTGGATGCCCTGGCCCTTCTTTGTCATTTACTGTTTTCCTTTCTCATTTCTGAGGTCTACTCTATGTTCTCCTTCTAGAAGAAACCACTGCAATAAACATCACCTTCCAAGGCCCCAAGCCAACGGCACCTCCCCTGGGAAGCCCTCCCCACCCGCTCCATTCACCTCATCTCGGGACTCCTCTCCTCTCTGTGCTGTCCCACTTATAGGTGTTCACATTTAAGTGCAGGTGGCCTGTGTGTACTGGGCTGGAGCATCTTGAGGGAAGGGGCCACTTTTCCCTTCCTAGAGCACCAAGACTTCCCAGTGCAGTGTCTGGCACTGAGAAGGACTGTGGCTGACACCCATAGCATGAATGTCCCTGACATAGTTCAATTCTACTGGCACATGCTCTACAAACTGCTGCTCTTGGTACATTTGCAGTTTCTCCCTAATGGAAATATGTCCATCTCAATCTCCCCCAGCAACATGCACTCCCTCAGGGTGCTGACCTCAGGGTAGACCCAACCAGCACTCCCCAGGAGGCAACTAATCTGGGCCTCCGTCTCTTACAGCCATTGGAGCTACTTGCCTGGCAACTCTTCATTAACACATGATCACGAGCCACCTACTCCAGGCTGTGATCAGACCTGAGCTTCCCTGGGGAGGTCATGTGCGGCGGGATGGACAATGCAAATCTCAAAGCACTGGGGATGGAGGAAGAAGGAGTTCAAGTCCCTGATAATGGGGAGTGGGTGGATGACAAAGATCTTAGATAATTTCCAGCTGAGCGATAGGAAGGGATGGGGAAACAGGAAGTCAGGGGTGAGAGGAAGCAGAGCTTGCTGGATGGCTGGGGGAAATGCCCAGAAGGCTTATCAGGTGGAGGGAAGAGCAGGCACAGAGCTGCAGGGATCCATTGAGGGACTAGGAAATAGTCCTGGGTCTGCCCATGGAAGATGAGGCACGACAGGCAGGTAGCTTGGAGCAGACCTTGGGCTCCTAAAATGGCAGGTAAGAGTGTGTTTTATGCTGAGAGATTTTGAAGGCCTTAATTAGGCAGAGGAATGGGGAAGGACGTGAAAGAATGCAGAATTGCAAAGATGTCTGTACCATCTACATTATAAATGGTGTGCTCAGCCTACATTATCCCTCTTAATTGTTCTTCCTCTACTGAGCTAGACTTCCCATTTTATAGGTGGGAAACCAAGGCCCAGATCCTGTATCTTGCCCTAGGTCCCCTCATGCGGTGAAAACAGAGCCAACTCACTTTTTTTTGTAACCCTCTAAGGCCTCCTGGACACTGCAGAGCTCTGCCTCCAGCCTCCCGTGCTCCCCCAACACGCAGTCCAGTTCCCTCCGCAGGGTGCAGATGTAGCCCTCAAAGAGGGGCTCCATGTTGCTCTGGCAGCACCTCTGCTGCTGCATGAAGTTCCACTTGGTCTCCAGCAGCTTGTTCTTCTGCTCCAGAAACCGCACCTGCAGCCAAAAATGAGGCATCACTGGGAAGAAGGGCCCCTGGGGCCCTTGCCTCGGAGAGGGTAGCGGGATGATTTCGTGCCCTCTCCCAACACTACAATGTGCAAAACTTAAGGTCTGCACAGATTGGAACCTAAGGGTGTTTGTGTGTCTCTTCTACCTAGGGGGTACTTGGAGGACCTCCACTTTCGTGTGTAGTAGGATGCTGCTCCATGAAGCCTGGGGCGGGTCCACATTCCAGCCCTGCCTGCCTGCCTCGCTAGACTTGTGACTTTAACTTGCTCTTCTTCCTAAAGAGCCTTCTTGGGATGTACTCTACAAACCTGCCCACTAATGTAAGTCTGTGTTCCCTGGGAGTCCATGGTTCTTTTTTTTTGCACTATAGGGGCAGAAGGCCACATCAAGGATTATGTCTTAGGACTGTCTGCTTTTTTCTCCTGCTCTGTCCCAACCCACATGGCTACCTCTTTAAGAAATATAGCTCACAGTAACATGGACAGCCACCGGCACATCTCCAATTTTGTGTATTGGCACTAATATGAAAAGAGATTAAGTGAGTTGACCCTGGCCGTCTACTTTGTCACTAACAAAGGGATCATGGCCTCCAGTTCTTCCCCTGGGATTTCCCGTGTTGAGCCTTGCCTCTCCTGACAGCTGCAGAAGGAACATGGCCCTACTTCTGGTGAACATCCATCACATCAATGGGAGGATGGTTCCTAGCCTTACTGAAGAGGGCACAGCATTGTCGATGGCCAGGATCCACATTCTTGGAATGGGGTTATAACCAGAAATTTGTAAAGTTTAAAAATAAAATTGTCAGTGAACAAGATCCTTTGTGAAGCAGGTTTTCATAGACTACGTCCTCTAATTCTCCCACTGTTTCTCACCCCTTCCCCACGAGACAGTAGAATCCTCAAGGCTGAGCAGGGAGTGGCTTACACGGGGATTTACATCACAAGAGTGGAGCTAGCACCGGGGCCCAGGACACTGACTTCTGTCCCAGAGGCCTTAGAGTCATCAGAAATACCAGGTCAGTTCTTGACATGGATCCTAACTCCTTCAAGAGCTTCTCTAGGGAGAGGAGACAGGCCAGGGGCTGCTGATAGATTACAGACCAGTTCAATGCTTTTAAAGGTAGCACACTGCCCTTCTCTGAGGGCTTCTGGAGTTCTGGATCTAGGGTTGACAGATGTAAGACTTGGGCTGTCATCTGTGTGCCCCTTGCTGTGACTTCTCTACTTTTTCCTCATGTCAGTTTTAAGCTGATGGCAAAATCTGGCATCACAGTGCCCAAAATTCCTGCCTTCAAGCCCAAGTCTTGAGGCAGCTCAGGCACATAGAAGGTGTTCCTATGTTAAAGCATCACCAGGAAGTGTACTTTTCAGACTCTGGTCATTTTTTTCAGTATGGCTTCGGAAGTTTCTCTTATAGTCTGACCTAAGGCACCCTTGGTGATTTTCTCAGATTAGATCTAGACCGAAATGATACACTAAAACAAGGACTGGGAAGCAGAAACTTTCAGTGATGTACTTGCTCTAACAGCTTTCAACGATGAACCCTCACGGAATCCTAGATAAGCAAGTAGACAAGTGGCTACTTCTCCACTGTCAGCACTTGTCCTTGGGCTCACACAGGTACCTCTGTGGTGGATTTTGTATCCCCTGCCCTGATGCCTTGGGCCCTCCCTCTTACCTTGTTGATGAAGGATGCGAAGCGGTTATTGAGGCACTTGATCTGCTCCTTCTCATCCCTTTTCACCCTCTGTACTGTTGGGTCAATCTCCAGTGCCAATGGGACTAGAAGACTCTCGTTAATGGTGACAGGGGTGATACAAGCAGAAGATCCACAGGTGGCACCTGCTCGATACCCAAAGCCAGGCAGGCCACATCTAGAGGCGACCCGAGGCCTGCTGAAGCCCACATTGCACAGGCTCCTGGAACCAAGGCATCCCAAGGCTCGGAGACCCCCGCCACTGCTAGGCCGGCATGGCCCCTTGCTCACTTCGTAGTGGGTGACCATCCGGGGCATGACAGCCGAGCATGAGCTGAAACTCCGACTGCCACACCAGGAGCCCATCTGCAGGGAGCGGCACGACATGGCAGGAGTGAGAGCCAAAGAGACAGAGCCCTGGAGGGGAGAACAGGGGGCAGGAATGACCAAGTCACGGCCCAGCTTCTCCTCTTTTATATGGCAGGGGACTGGAGGGCTGAGCTGGGTCAAACCTCAGATCAGCATTAAATCAGGTTTATGAGCTTGGGATATTAGGGGCTGCTAAGTAGCAGGGTGGATAATTAGGGTAGCAAAGAGCAAAGAGAAGGAGCCAATGGTCAATGCTGGTGGGTCCTATAAAAATTCTGTTTGTCCTCTTTTCTTGTTTACAGCGGCAAAGAAAGGGGCCAGCCAGAATGCTGTATTTGACCTATCCAGTGGCTCAGCCTTGAGGAAAGGGACAGTGGGACTTTAGAGTGGGACTTTATCATTTCATAGGAGGTCAGGGCCCTGAATTATATGCCCTGAATTCCCCGGGCTTAGAGAGCACAGGAGACATCCTGAGGGTGCTCTATTTGCCCAAGCCCATCTCTGTGTCTTCCTCCAGGTCTTCCAGACCCAAGAGCCCCTGTGAACCCCTTGGTGGGCCCAGAAGTTCTCAGGGAAAAAGGTTTTTGGGGCAGGAGAAGTCTCCCTTCCACAGGCTGGAGCTTGTGCTTCCTCAAGATTACGGGGCTCTGGGTCTGGTGCAACTGCCCCTGCCCTGGGATTCTGTGTTGCCACCTGGAATCTCCCTGAGTAGATGGAGCCTTTGCTGGCTTGCAGACATCTCTGGGGACAACAGTTGCCCACAGGAATGTGGATGTGGGATTCAGCCTTTCTTCCTAACACCATGTCACAGACACAGGTCTTTGTAGATACCTGCAACCCCTCTCCTTCTCGTGTAACCTCTGCTGGGATGACTGGCCTTGTCCTTATACTCTTTGTTTCCATGCCAAAATTGAGCCCGTGGTAATAGTAACCCTGACTGGGGATTTACTATGTGCCAGACCACCCTGACTGCATCTATTATCTCATCCAATTCTTGGGACAACACTATGATATAGTTACCATTTTACAGATAAGGAAAATGAGGAGCAGAATAGTGAACAATTACATGCGCAAATTGCCTATTTGCTAGTGGTAAGTCTAGGGTTGAATTCTATACCTTCTGACCTTGCCATGCTCCACTGATCTAGAGGACACAAGCCTGAGGTAGAGTTGGTGAATCTGCTGCCTATGTGCTTTATGTTCCTCTTCTTTCCCACCTGCAGATTGAAAACTGGAACTCAGATGTTCTTGTGCCTTGGAAAGTCTCAGTCTAATTATGCCATTTCCACACTGTTCCCCTTTGTCATTGTTTTGGTTTGGGTTGTGAGGACTGGTTTGGTTTGGAGTGGTGTGTGATGAACCACGTGGGAGATAGTGGGAAGCAGAGAGAAGGGTAGGCTGGGGTGTTGTCTTAGTCACCTCTCCCACCAAAATATCTAACATCTGCAACATGAAGGAGCAAAAGTTTGTTTGACTCTGGTTTCGGAGCGTTCAGTCCATGGTAAGCTGGCTCCCAAGCAGAAATACCATGGTGGGATGGCTTAGCAGAGAAAAACTGCTCAATTTATGACATCCAGGATTCAGACAGGAGAGAAATTGCTGAGAGGAAAGGGTCAGGGATCAGATTTAGTCTCCAAGCACACAGCCCCATTCCATACTTCCTCCCATTAGGCCCTATTTCTTTTCAGCTATGAACTCATCCATAGGCTAACCCATCAATGCAGTTAGGGCCTTCACAGTGCTATCACCTCTCCAGGGACCTCTTAATCTAGGCAAGTTGGCAATCAAGCCCAACCGTCACAGGTGCTGCTGCCTGGTGTCAGGGAAGAAGAGCCTCGTTCTGCTCTGGGGGCCCAGGAACCAGTGTGAATTATGATGCAATATGAGAAGCCTGACCAAATATCAGATTTCCACTAGACAGGACGAGTGAAGTAGCTGGCAGGGTTGTTAGGATAGGGTCCAGTGGAGCAATGCAGGCACAGCAGAGCTCCCCAATCTTATCCAGCCCAGATGATGGTCTCAGTGACTGTGTTGGGACTCTGGGATCCCAGGACCAGAGCTCAGGAATAGGAGATAGGATGCTTCATTGGGTTCGTGGTAGGCAGAAAGGAACTGTTCCCATAGCCCACCAGTTCTGAGGCTGCCCCTGGGTATGATAGAGAATGCTGACTCAGTTAAGACCTAGAGTGCTCAGCAACATTTTATTGAAGCTACTTCAGGAAATAGGTGAGCATAAGACAGCAAGTACATTGGAAGGTTTGCTTTGTCCTTGTTAATTCTGTCTTCACGTTGGTAACATGGCAGATGACTTCTTTGCCTCTGGAGTGCATTTTGGTCTTGAACTCATGGCAGGTGTTTGAGGATTACAACTCTTCAGACCAAATTGAATTTACCCATGAAGACTAGCTTCACAAAGACCTCCAGATGGCCACTTCCTTATTCCTATGCCTTGGAGGGGCTGAGTGCCATGTCCCTCAGAGGCAGGGACACAGCAAATCCAGGTCTGCCTCATTCCTTTGAGTTTGCCATCTTGGCCTTTCCTCTGGGACTTAGGGAGCTTTGTTCCAGGGTGGGAGACAGGCAAATCCATGCAGCACAGAGAAACTTCAAAGGCTGGGAGATAGAAAAGAAAGGTGGGAGCAGGAAGAGCAGGAGACATGCTACCAAGGAGAGAAATAAAGGACAAGAGGGGAAAGGTGGGTACTGAGAAAGGGGACACAGGGGGTGGTGGAGGATGGCAGAAAAAGAAATGAGGGTGAAGAAGCAAGGGGACAGGAAAGCATATGGGAATACAGAAAAGACCTGGGCCAGGAGCTTTATTTGGAAACTCTCAGGGCAATTCTTCACACAGGCCCATAGAGTCTCCTTTTTCTGGTGTATATTCTGCAGGCATTTTGGGCTGAGTTGCTTTTCCACCTCCATGAATCTCCTCCCACTCCCTCATCACCAGGGTGTCTCTGTTTAAGGAAAGCAATTCTAACACTGGCTTGAATGAGGCAGATTTGGAAGGAATTTGGCTATGAGCTATCACTTAATGCAGCTGCAAGTCAAGGAGAGCTTTTGGGTTCCTGATAAAATTAATCCATTGTAGTATGAATAATCAAGTGTTGGTAGTATTTTAAAGGATGTTAGTTTCTCACACAAATATTCTGCTGGTGAGAGTTGTCAGGGGAATTGGCTGGGGGCCTCGGCAGGGACAAAAAAAGAGGAGGATAGGCAGTGTGTATGGCAGGGTTGCAGGAAGTACCCTGCCCATGGGAAGAAACAACTCAGGGACTCTCTGGCCTAGGCTGCATTTGACGTCTTTGGGCCTGCAGGGTCAATTCTAACATCTCCATGAAGGACTGAGAAAGAGGAATCATCTTGTGGTTGCAATGGGTCTGGGTCAGACGGAGGAGGAAGACCCCCATGCATCCTCTACTACCTAACTTCAAAGTGCTAATCCAGGTCTTCACCTAAAGTACCTGAGTCAGAGTGGGTTGGAATATGCCCTGGTGGGTCTGATATCAGGAATGGCTGGCCTCTCTCTGTGGGGAACTATGTAGAGGCAGAGGGATGGACAGAGACCTAAACATTCTCCAGCTACTTGCTGCTCCTGTGCCTCCTGCTTTAGATTATGTGCATGGGAGTGTGGGCAAAGCATCAGGTCTTAGGGTTGGAAAGCTGCAGGCCTGGGGTAGCAGCTGAGGTGGGAAGTGCTTTAGCTCCTGTAGCTCTTCTTGGTGGATGATGTCTTGGAGATGATGCGCATGCTGGAGCTGGTGCCACTGAGGCTGCGGCCGCTGGTGGAACTGAAGCTGCTGCCCCCAGAGCCGCTGTAGCAGAGGCCACTGCTGAGACCACCACTGTAGCCACCCCCACCTACACAGAGGCCACTGCCCCTGCTGTATCCTGTACCACCAGAGGAAGAGACCACAGCTGTAAAGAGAAGGCATGGGGATGTTGGTAGGGTTTTGAGTTTTCTACAATGCTCTCCCCATCTTCCCGGTGTCTGTTTCCTCCCATGTGCCTTGTTTCATGTACCCCCATCGAGAAGCCTCATGGCCAGTGGTCTCCTGAGCTGGGAGGCACATGGGAATAGACACACCACTCCTGTCACAATATGAACCTCAATGTGAACCTCTGTACAGGTGCAGTTTCAAAGCACTCACAGCTGTGACCACATTTATCTCAACAGCCTGGAGAGGACACCATTATGACAGTGACCCCATTTGTAGAGGAAAAGATGGAGGTGCAAAGCGATGACATCTTCAAGGTCATGCCAACCTTGAGGCTTTAGGCTCCTGGGCTACATTTGTCTCTCCTGTCTGCTAGGAAGCTCTCATGTTGTATGGACTATGAGGTCTCAGATCCAAGCAGAGCACCATAGACTTCCATGTTGGAAGAGGCCCAAAGACCATGGAGATAACCCTCAGTATCAGAATCCATTCAGTCATGAGAGGCCATCCATTAATGTCTGCCCCATTGTTTTCAGTGATCGCCCAGGGAGGAGGCAGCACCCTATGACATGCTGCCATTGCTCTGCCCACCCCCAAGTCTGCCTTCCCTGTGAAGTGCTCCTATTCCTGGGGCAGGTGGGTGCAGGCTCCCTCAGCCTCCCTCTTCTGGGCTTATCCACTTGGGGCTTTTGTGGCCACAAGCAGGACGCAATGCTCCCACCTAGGATGCTGACCTTTTCAACACCGCCTTTGCCTCTTTGCTCACTCCTGAGATTATCCCTCCTGGTCTCCTGGGAGTTGAGGCCAAGCCAGGCCAGTCACTATTCTACGTGCTCAATTAATCTGCTTAAACTCTAAATATCGATCTTTACCTTTCATGTGCTTCCAAGCCCCTTGCTATGTTAGTCTGAGTTCCTACAGAATAGCCAAGAAATCAACCATTGAACCCATGGGCCAGTGCTGTTTGAGCAGTTCCATCCCATTATGGGGTTCTCTGCGCCAGGCTGGAGTCCATGGGAATGTGACCCCACTGTGACCACCGCCAGAGGTGACCTCACTGTGATCACCCCCGGGGTGAGGGGTGGGTGAGAAACTCTCCTAGAATGATGAGAAAGTCACTGAGCTCTGCTCTAATTTATCCCTTGGGACATGGAATGTCCCCACTCTGAGTTCTCTTGACCCCACTGAGAAGGGGAGCCAAAGAGCAGAGGGACCTCCACAGAGCCCCTAAGAAGGTCATGATGACATCCTTGCCCCAGTGGGTCATTTTCTAGCTGCTGAATCCTAACTAGTGATGCTGTTAGCACCTTTTTTTGCCTCTCACTCCTCTATCATCCCAATACATTTACTCACAGATGTTAACAGGTCCGACACCTTCACCAGTGAGCCTGCAGCAGGTGGGGAGAGAAAGAGATGTATTATTTGATGACAAGTTAGAGGTCCTGGGTTCTTCGTATTTAAAGTCATTAGCACTCAGCACTTCCTACGTGCCAGGCACTGTGCTTAAGATTCTTATTCACCTCCTTAGCTTTAGGAACCTCATGCAGGGGCTGGGGATTTAGCTCAGCGGCAAAAGCGCCTGCCTGGCAAGCGCAAGGTCATGAGTTCGGTTCCCGGTACCGGAGAAAAACCAAAAAAAAAAAAAAAGGAACCTCATGCAAATATGTGAGAGGAAGTCCAGAGAGATCAAATTAAAACACATGGAGAAATAAGAAAGGAACTTTGTGCCAATGAGATGAAGTGAGACAGTAGGGCATCTCTGGATAAACTTGGAAACCCCAAGGCTGGTCCCAGATATGGCCATGTTTGTTATAGGGCCTGAGTATAAATGGCCCTGCTTGGGGCCCTCCAAGTAGTCATGCCCACTTGTTCCTGACACTTTGACCCTGGCCTCTGCCTTTGCCCAGGAGGAGCTATGGAAGGGGGTGTAATTGAAGAGAGCCTCTGGAACAATTGAATTTTCACCCCATTTCTAGCCTTGGACTTTCTAGCGGGGATCCTGATATTTTGGGGCCCATGTGGCCTCTGTGGCATTACTATCATGCTCTCATGACATCTGTTTGGGCCACGGTGGGAGCAGAAATGGCTCACCTGTGTTCTTCGCCCTCCAGCAGCTTCCGGTAGGTGGCAATCTCAATGTCCAGGGCCAGCTTGACATTCATGAGCTCCTGGTACTCTCGCAGCTGCCGGGCCATTTCCTGCTTGGCCTTCTGTAGGGCCTCCTCTAGCTCTGCCAGCTTGTTCTTGGCATCTTTGAGGGCCAGCTCCCCACGCTGCTCAGCATCCGTGATCGCAGCCTGGAGTGTGACACACTGCAAGCAGGAGACAGAGATTGTGACACTGTTCACAGGGAGTACTGTGAGAGGTGGGCTCTGGGTTAAAAATGTGGAAGGGTTCCTTGAAGTCAACTTAATGTGCAGGTGCTGGAGCATCATGTTAAAAAAAGGACTGCTCTCTGTCCCCTTTAATACTTTAGACTCTTGGCTTTCTAAGGTCCTTCAGTGCTGCCTTTCCCTGGACAGTGAGTGGGTGCTTAAAGCAAACTGAGTTTGGCCATCTGTGGCTCCAGGGGAAAAGGACTCTTATAATGTGAAGGACACTAGGTCAGTGACCTTTGAATTCCTGGAAGCCACTCATGTGTAAGGCTTCTCTCTGCATGTGCTGAGTTAGACCCAGGCTCACATCTGCCCCTGGGGCAGGGCCCTGGATGGAGCGGCCTTTGGGAGCTCAGCCCTACCTGCTTCTTCAGGTTGTCAATCTCCGAACGCAGCCTCTGCATGGCCCGGTTCAGTTCAGAGATCTCCATCCTCGTGGTGCGGAGGTCATCCCCGTGCTGGCCGGCGGACCGCTGCAGCTCCTCATACTGGGAGGAAGAACAAGCAGGCTCAGTGAGGGCAAGGGATGAGTGCAGCAGGCAGGGGCGGGCAGGCCACAGAACAGAAGGCTGCAGTTTGCCGGGATCCTCAGATGCTCAGTGCACTGCTTGGAGACTCCTGGCTTTGTCTCCACCCCATTCTAACCTGTCTGCCTTGCTCTGTTTGCTCTGCCCCTCACTCTCCATGTCCACAGGCCTCACTCTACAGTTGGACAGCTGTGCTGTGCTTCCTTCCCAGACCAGCCTCTCTGCTCTCTCCCTTTCCTCTATGCATCTCGATCTTCCAGACTCACCATCACGCAGGGTGCCCATCCCTTTGTGGTGTTAAAGTCTCTCCATAGTTGTTTATACTGATACCACATCTCATCACCCCCAGTGACTCTCCAGCTCAGATCGCCTGCTCCAACCTGGACAATCTCAATCTGACCCATATCCAAACTTTCCCTCCCAGTAACTTGGCCCCAGCCAGTTCTACCCCTTCTCTCCATCCCGCCAGCCTCTCCTAAGAAGCACTAGACCTGCGTCTTCTCTACACCTCTCTCTTCCTCTTGTTGGCCCCAAGGGCTAGAACTGTCCAGTTGCGCCTGTTTCTCTGATATAGGGCATTGGAAGTGCATCTTGCCAGAGACTTGCCACCTTCTGCTTGACTCTGGCAATTTCCCCAGCTCTTGATGGTGCTGCCTCAGGTAGGGCTCGGAACAGAGCGAACCTCTAACGGCACTCAGATCCTTGCAGCCCACCAGACTGGGACATCTAAGAGGAAGAGGACCTTAGCTAATTTGCCTTTGAAAGCTCTGGTCTCAGAAAGCTCTGGTCTCAGTGCCTGTTTAATTAACCTGACCTTGATGCCTCACCTTGGTCTGGTACCAGGACTCAGCTTCAGCACGGCTTCGGTTGGCGATATCCTCATACTGGGCCTTGACTTCTGCGATGATGCTGTCCAGGTCTAGTTTGCGGTTGTTGTCCATGGACAGGACCACAGAGGTCTCTGAGAGCTGAGCCTGAAGCTGAGCCAGCTCCTGTGATTGGGCAGAATGGAGAGCTGAGGCAGGACATTCTCTCGCATGCACATGTGTGTGAGTGCGTGTGTGTGCGTGTGTGTGTGTTGGAGGACTGTGGCTTGTCCCAGGACAGACCTTGGCATGGAGGGTCTTTCACTGTTGGGAAAGAGCTCACCGCTTAGGTGTGAAAGGGCTGGGGAGGCCACGAGGGAGGCCACTGAGTTTATAGCTGCTCTTTATCATCAGCTCATCTGCACAGGGAGCGGCACAGGTAAGTCTAGCTGGAATTCTCCAGAAGCCACTCCCATTGTCAAGGGAGCACACCTTACTGTGACTGTCAGGGCTGCAATATCCCATGCTATGCAAAGGCACTGCCCTGCAGGGCACATAAACACATCATCTTGGGAAAGGAAGCTGAGGCAGAAGGGGCCAAACAACTCTGCAGCATTTCTGTTCTGTTTCCCGACTTCGCTGCTCTCAGCTTCTCAGGTACAGAAAATGGAAATTAACTTGAAACAGCAGACAGGGCATCAGGCTGAAAAAGCCACAAATCAGCTCCCTGAGCAAGCTCTGGGGCTCAGAGATGCTACTCACAACGCAGGCCTAGCACAGCTTCTGTGAAGATTAAACAGTGTCTCTCTATTAGATGGGCTTTAAATGGTAAAATCATGATTCATTTTTTACTGATCTCTTTTCAGCATGATCCAAAGTCTCAGTTCTCTAAATGTGACCTCAGACTGGCAGCAGCAGCCTTACCCACCTGGGCGTGTGATGGCAATGGATATTCCAGCCCCAGACTTCCTGAGCCCCAACCGATATTCTAGCAGAAACACCAGAAGGTTCATGGGCTTTGGAATCAGAACTGCTAGTCTGAAGCAGAAATCTAAGCAAAAGCACTCCTTTGCCTTCTGAGTTCTCAGTGGGTCCATACATTTAATGTTTCAGCAAAGTACTGTTTTATGGTTCTTGTGCTATAGTTTGTTTCCCAATAATTTCTCCCCTTGCTGCTGGGGTGTCTCAACTCATGGGCTTGCTGGGCAGTGGGCCAGGCCAGAATTAGGAGCCAATGCCACACTGGTTGTCACAGTGAGGAGAACAGGCAGAGCAAATGAAGTCTTTTGGTCCCATGTGGGCTGTGAGATGATCACTGAAGCCACCCAACCAGGAGAGGATGATCCTGATACTGGGGTAACATAGCAGGCATACTCCAGGCACCGAACGTAGACAACCTTCTGGGAAAACCATCTGTCTTACCTTGAGTCCTACCTGGAGGTGCATAACCCACCCTGCCCCCCCACCTTGGCACTGCTGTCCTATCTCCTCACTTGGTTCTTCAGCCAATCTAGACCTTATATAGGGGCATTTGCATCCTTGTTCCCTGTAGCTCGGATTCTCCCTTCTTGCCGATGAGGCCTATTGATATTTTCATTCCTGAAATGGTGCAGTTATTTGATTATGCCCCCTGCTGCCTGTCTCCCTTACTGTGGGAGAAGACCTAAGAACTTAGGGGCTTTGCTGTGCTTGTCCCGTGCCATCCCTGAAGCCTGGAGAATACCTACAGAGGTGCTCAACGAAAAAGTGTCTTCAGGAGGTGCACACAACTGTGTTACAGACTTCGAAATCACCTGGAGGCTTCCTAATTGCTACTTGATTTGCATAATCTCATCATTTTGCAGTCTATCTAGGAAGCAGCAGGCGGGGCAGGGCTGGGCTGGGCAAGCCCAGCCGTTCACAGTGCTATAGAAAGTATGTGCATTTGAATGATTGGCAGCCTGTACTTTGTTGGCCCAACTTGGTTCATAGTTCAAGTTGCTGATGATAAGTTTTTCACCTCTCCTGCCCTCCCAGGGGCCCCAGGAAACCTCATTTTCTCTGTTATAGGGACAGCATCATCTGCCCCCATGAATATAACCCACAGATGGGGTGGGGAGCCAGGGGAAGGCTGGGACAACAGCCTCTGTGCTCAGCTGAGGCCTCCAGCACTCCCAAGCGGGGAAGAGCAGGCCCTCTTACCGCCTCGTAGAAAGCTCTCAGGAAGTTGATCTCATCCATCAGGGCGTCCACCTTGGCCTCCAGCTCCACCTTGCTCATGTAGGCAGCATCCACGTCCTGGGCACAGAACATGCTATCACCCTGGGGATCACCCTTCTTGAGCTAGTCAGCTGCCTCTGCCTGTGATTTTGAGGGACAGCTTCAGCTCCTGGGGGAGGACTTGGCTGTTCCAGCATGTGGAATGGGACTTGGGATTGGGAGGTCAACATGGTGTGAAGACCAGGGCCTCAGGAATGCCTACCTGTTCATCAGTGGTGCCACCTGTTACCTCCCACAGGAAGGGCACCTCCATCCTGGGCCCTTGGGCTGCCACTGCTTCTAGGCTCTCCAGGCCTCTTGCCAAAGTCTAATTCAGTTTTCCTCCTCCTCACTCTTCTGTGTGATGCCCACTTCTAAGGTTGCTCTATTCTTCCTCTAGCTGAGCCCCTCAGTGGGGTCCTCCTCCCTCGCTGGTCCCGCCAAGCAGGAAGGCCTGGATTTCTGTGGTCTGATCTGTACACCATCCCCATCCTCTGAACTTGGCTGGATGTCTAGGAGACTAAGTTCAAGTCCTTTCTTCAGCCCCTCTCCTTACACTGGACTTCCTGAGGGAGTCTACAGTTTGGACTTGGGAGTTCTTGATTCTGACCCACTTCTGATTTATTTGGGTAACCTTAGGCAATGGATTTATTGCCTTTAAATAAAACCTGATTCTAAGATTTGTTATGCAAAATAAAGCCCAGTAGGGAAGGCCATTCTAGGGTAAGTGACAATTTGTGACCCCGAAGAGCCTAGGAGTAGGTAGAGGACCTCTGTCTTCTCACCTTCTTAAGTACCACAAACTCATTCTCTGCTGCTGTGCGCCTGTTGATTTCCTCCTCATACCTGCAGGAAGGGCAGAGAAGAGGGGATTAGAGGGAGGTTCTGGAGCCAGGTGGGGATTATGGGGTTGTAGGCAGACAGATGGACCTCCAGAGAAGCCTTGGAAATTCTACGGTATCATAACTCTCCTGAATACATGTGCTTCCAAATCACAAATCCAAGAATGCTCTGTCCCCCAAAACACAAACTGAAAACAACAACAGAACAGAACCATCCCTCCTTTTTCTGAGGTGTTGTTTCTTACTGCCTGGGGCTCACTCTGCTTGAGCTAGTCAGCTGCCTCTGTGATTCTGAGGGACAGCTTCAGCTCCTGGGGGAGGCTCTTCAAGTCTAAAGAGAACTTGGGTCCCCTAAAGCATATTTCCTTTTATTGAAAAGTAGACTTGACTCAATCCAAACAGAGGCTGTGAGGGGAACGGCAGAGAGAAGGGTAAGAGGTGGCAGCTCTTGGGCTCTGCCCTGGCTCCTGCACACCCTGCCGCCCTCATGTCCCCCTCAGCGGCCTCAGCCGCCTGAACTGGGACCTAAGAAGCACGGTTGCCATGTTTATAGATGTCCTTCTTCCCCAGGTTTCTTTTTTCTTCAGTTAGTCCTTAAACAGCAGACCAACCCTTCTGTCTGTCCCCAGGGGCATGTGGCGATGCCCATGGCTCTCCAGACCTCTGGGAAGAAAGAGTCCCTTCTGCTCCAATTGACCCACTTTCCACACAAGCCATTTCAGCATCAGCCCGTCCTGTCATTTTAGCTGTGCTGGACCCTGGAGTTCGAACCTTGGCTTTTCCACCTCAACTGAGCCATCTTGGGCAGCTTATGCTACGCCAACCCTAACCTCTTGGAGGCGCTTTCCCATCTGTGAGGTGGGAAGTCTCTATTCCTTTACCACCACAGAGTATGAACCCGTGTTATGTACACCTCCAGAATCTCCCTGCTTTCGTACTGACTCTAGTGCCCAGTCTGCTCTGAAAATCTTTCCTGCCACTGAGACATCAGTGCTATCTGTGCTTTCTTCCGCCTTCTCTTGGAGACCCTTGGTGTTTCTTATTGTTTTTCAAGCTCTTTTTGATGGAATAAGCACATTTTTTTCTTCCACTAATTCCATGCAACTGTCCTCATCTTCTGTGTTTCCCGGCTCATAGTCCCTTTGCTACACAGGCCACGTGGGCTCCACAGGAATCTTGCCGGCCATTTACCAGGAATATGTACTGTACTACATCCCTTGCCATGTCACTCCTGGTGCCCTCTTTCTTCTCAGCTTTAAGCTTTAGGCTCTTCCTCAAGGGATTCTTCTTAGGCCGAAACATTTTTATGCCTTGTTTGCAAACATATTCTAAAATTGCCATCTGCACTCAAAACCTGTGACTGTATCATTACACACTTATAACTAACCACAAATACAATAAAATAGCTAACAACTACCAACTTACTATGTACCAGGCACTGGACACCTTATTAAGTACTTTGTATGCGTGTTTTGAGTTTTGATAGCTACAGAAACTGAGACTGAGAGAGGTTAAAGAGTTCTCTTTGAGGCCATTCATCTATTAAGTATCATTGACTGGATTCTTTTTTTTTTTTTTTTTTTGAGACAGGGTCTCATTATGTAGTTCAGGCTGGCTTTAAACTCACTATGTAGCCCAGGATGGCTTCAAACCTGCAGCGATCCACCTGCCTCAGCCTCCCAGGTGCTGGAATTACAGGTGTGTGCCATCATGCCTTGCCTAACTAGATTCCATAGCACTGTCCAATAGAATATTCTGTGATGATGGAAATGCTATATCTCTTTGTTTATCATAGGATCCACTAGCCATACATAACAACTAATGTAGCTAATATGACTGAGGAGGTGGTTTTAAAATTTTATTTAATTTTTGCTGGGTATGGTGACAGACTCTTGTAATCTAGCACTCTGGGAGGCTGAAGCAGGAGGACCAAGTTTGAGGCCAGCCTGGGTAACTTAGAGACTTAGCAAGACCCTGTCTCAAAAAAAAAGAAAAGAATGTATCTATATCTATATCTATATCTATATATATATCTCCCATATATACATATATATGGATATATATGGGGTATGAAGGTCATAAATTCAACTGCCAGCACCACAAAAATTATTTATTTTGTATAAATTTAAATTTAAATAGTCACATGAGGCTAGCGGCTTCCATATTAGAGAGCATGACTCTAAATCCTGAACTTATCCTATATTATACAAACAGTAACCAGGCCTCATTATCAAATTACCAATTTTAGTTGGAGCAAGATAAATAAGAATCAATTAAAATAAGAAAAATAAGAAGTAAAAAGAGTAAAAATTAGAAAATGACAATAAAAACAATAAACTCATGTCTACAGCCATGAGCATGTAAACATGCTGATGTTAGGGGTGTGTGTGTGTGTGTGTGTGTGTGTGCAGTGTAGTCCTGGGGGAAGGAATCTGAGCTGTCTTTCTTCTTTGCACCTCCACCTTCTTGGCCAGGATTGGGGTGAATGTATGAACTGGGATAATCAGCAGTAGGATTTAGTTGAATAAATGTGATTCTCTGGATTTAATTCCTAATTCATGAGTTGGTGCCTTGTGTTATCATGGATGAGCTGGTAGCCATCTCAGAGCCTGACTCTCCTCACTTGCATAGTCATGTACACCCTACTCTCTGTACCTAAGCTAATCATCATCATCTATAACTTGTACCTTCCCAAAACTTCAACATTCTTGATCACCATGTCCCAGTTCTCTTTCTACCCTCATCCCCTAAGTGTGTATCCCAGTACGCATTGGTCTAAGCACACCTGGAGAAAGAAGCTGGTTTCTCCTGCTGCCCTGGCCTTCCTCATTGCCCCAGGGCCAGGCTCTGGCCTGGGAGCTGGTGGGCATCCACTCACTTGATCTTGAAGTCCTCCACCACGTCCTGCATGTTCTTCAGCTCCATCTCCAGCCTGCCCCGCTCTCCTCCCAGGCAGTCTAGCTGTCGTCTCAAGTTGTTGATGTAGGCTTCAAACATGGGCTCAAGATTGGCCCTGGTGGTTTTATGGTCTTGCAGGAGGCTCCATTTGGTCTCCAGGACTTTGTTCTGCTGCTCAAGGAAACGCACCTGCCCAGCCAGAGATAAGAGACTGTGAGGGCTTCCAGGAGGACAGCCTCCGGAGGCCTCTCAGAAAAGGACCCCTCAACAGTGTGTGTGGGGGGTTTGCACGAAAGCTCAGAGTCAGATGGCAGACTCCTCTTCCTCCTCCTTCTAGGCTACAAGGGGCATGGGATGTAGAGAGCCAAGCCAATGTAGGTGCAGGGAGCTTGGGAGACAGGTGATGGTTTGGTTTGGGAAGGGGAGAACTAGGGAGGACCAGAGGGGATAGAAGCATCTGAAGACACTAAACCATGCTGATGTGTGGTAACTTAAGCAAAGAACACACTACCATCATGTTATTGGTGAGATTGTTCTTCCTATTAAGTGGATAGGAGTTTGTGGTAGAAAATTCCGCCTGTCCACTTTCTTTATGGCAAGACTTCTCAGGATCTAGAACCTGGTCTCAGTTGCCTGCACATTCCAGATGTATTAGAATCGGTCACCCTGGAGTTGCATTTGAGCCATGTCCCTCACTAGCCATATTACCCTGGGAAAGACCTTTCCTTTCTGTGCTCTCAAGTTCCTTGTGACCTTGTGCTGCTAACTTGGATTTCTTGAATTAGCTCCACCTGCTCCTCAGTCTGGGAGTCAGGTTCGGGAAATATGAACAACCATCCCTTAAACAAAGTTTTTTCATTGGAAGGAACTGCAATGACAACTAACCTTAGAGAAAAAGGGACCAGCATCTCCACAACTTTGGAGATGGCTGCATTCTTACAGATAGTCGTTAATAGATGCATCTTTTCCTGTGTGTCACTCTCACTGCCAGAGGAAGGAGGATGTCCCAGCTCCAACTCCCTCCCTAATCCCATGCCTTCTTTCTCTCCATTTCCTCCAAAGAAGCTAGGGAAAAGCAAGGTCCAGAATCTATCTTGCACAATCAGACCACTGGGCATCTCACATCTTTTGGTACAACCCAGGCCAGGAGGAGTAACATGTGTGACAAAGCTAAAGATCCAGGGTCTCAGCAATGCTTGGGTTAGGTCTGCATATTCCATGATCTCATCCATAAGATGAAGCATCATGGCCTCTCAAATTTGCAAAAGGGACCTACCTTGGAGTCCTTGAGGAGTGACTCTCCTAGGAGTAGATCCAAATTTGGAACCTTAGCTGGTTGCCTCTTAGCTCAGACTCTTCCAGATCCCAGGCATGGAGCCTGAGTGATCTGGATCTTTGGCTTGGTCCTTCCCAAGCCAAAGCGACCCACTCAGGTATGTGGAGGTGGTGCCTGTCATGCGGGTATTCTCCCAGAGCTGGAGAATCTCTTGGATCCCCGGCCACGCAGCAGTTGAGATTCAGGCTAAGGTCAAAACTTTTCTTTAACTCAAGAACATATGCTAAATGTTCCGAGTGTCTCTTCACTACTCACTTGGCTTCTTAGATACGTCCAGTCCCCAGGGAGATGCCTATTACTGCAGGACACTAGTGCTGATTAAACTGGGACCCAGTACACTTCCATGAATGTACCTCTTTTTCCTTTGTCTCCTCTTGAAACTGACCTCAACATGCTGTCTAATTTTAAGCCAAGCACATCATTACTGGCCATCAAAGAATGATGTCCGTGTAGTAGATCAGCGAGCTCTTGGGTCTGGAGATGGACATTTTTTGGCTTCTACCTCAACAAAGTGGAAAACTACCCACTCCTCCACTCTATCAGCAGACTGCCCAGCCTCAGGTTCAGGGAAACAACAGTTGACCTCAGAAAAGCACAGAAAGCATAGACCCTTTGATGGTAACTGCTTTCCTGGTGTGGACCCCACTGGTCCCTCACCTTGTCAATAAAGGAAGCAAACTTGTTGTTGAGGGTCTTGATCTGCTCCTTCTCCTCCTTGCGTACATGCTGGAGAGAAGGGTCGATTTCCAGGTGCAGGGGTGTCAGGAGACTATGGTTGACGGTGACCTCTTGGATGCCCCCAGGTCCATGTACCATTCCACCTCCATACCCATATCCACCAAAGGCTCCCCCTGCTCTGTACCCTGTGCTGCCGATACCTAGCCCACAGCTAGCACCCCCAAAACTGCCCCGGCTGGAGCGGTAAACCCCACTGATGGAGATTCTTTTGCTGCCCCCAAAGCCATGGAGGCTCCTGGTCCCAAAGCTTCCCCCAAAACCACCTCCAATGCTCTTCCTGTTCTTGGACACTGAGAAAGAGCTGAAATTGGGTCGGCACCCCTGGAGGAGACTGGCTGAGGAAGCGCTGAAGTTCCGCGTGCCTCCCGACTTGATGGTGACTGATGATCTCTGTGTCATGGTAGGAGCTGGTGCCAGAGGGTAGAGGAGCAAAATGTCAAAGGAATGAGCAGCCTTCAAAGTGCAGCTGTCTTGGGCTCCCCTTGACTTTTATCCCTCTTGAGAACTGGGCTTGGCTGGAGGAGATCAAAGACCACTCTGTTGAATTCACCTCAATGGTATGTGTGGCCACAGCCCATCTTCCTGTCCTGCTAATCATCATGGGGGAACACCCTCCCCAGACAGGACCAGGCCTGAGGATTCTGACCTGGGGCAGGTCTGGATTTCGAGCCCCCACTCCACTCAGGTTCCCAGCCTCATGCCATGGATACTCCTCTTGTTTCTCTGCAGCTCCATCCTCTATTCTCAGGTCTTGGACTCTGAATCCAGACACCTGACTAGGCATGTCCCATTCTGGATGTGATTATATATGCCTTTATATTTCTGTTTCCCGAGGACTCAGTCTGTGCTACACCATTCACGTGGCAGGTCTGCCACAAGCATTGTTTTATTTGATTCTCATTACTTTGTGAGAATGAATGATAAAAGTATTATTGCTAATGTTTTTTGAACAGACATGGCTAGCTGCCTTATGCCTATCTTCTCATTGACTCTTTGACATCGCTATGGCATAGCTATTCTTGTTTTACACATGGAGCAACTTAAGCAGAATTGTTAAGCAACTTGGCTAAGGTCATATAGTGAATGACTTTTGGGGCCAACATTACATGCTCAGAATCATTGAATCTCACTCACCTGGGAGTCAGACATCAAGAGTTGGCTTGTCCAAGGGGAGTAGCAAACAGGACTTTACTCTAACTTCCTGTCTCTTTTTTTCTCATCCCTGGTCGTAACTTGCCCTGCCCCTGTGGACTGAGAGATTTAACAATTTTTCTCAGTGATACCTCTCCTTCTAATCATCTTCGCCCTTCCAATCATTTCAAGCTTCACCCCTTCTTTCACTCTCAACTCCCTTCTGCCCTCTAACTTCCTGCTCTGCACTGTAAGCATTGTCATGGCCCTGGTTTGCAGCTACCCTGTGCTTCCCACTTGGTCTGTAGCATTGTGTCCACTCTGTCTGAGCCCACCTGGCCTCAGTCGAGGTGAGTCCCCTTGGGGATGGGTCTGGGACACTCATAAAGCCAGGAATGTGGGAGCTCCTAGGATGTCTCATTGCTCTTGCAATTATGAGCTTTTAAGTGGCTGCTGTGTCTGGCCTCAGGGCTGACTATTAACTCCTCTCCCTGGCCTGTTATTTCTCTGCTCAGGCCTGCAAGTTTGAAGCTGTCAAGGAACAATCAACCCCTTTGCCAGCAGAGGCCGGGGCCGCCCACCCTGCGTCAGTGTCCCAGGAACACAGTCTGATTTGGGGAGGGGAAGGCATCGTCCTGCATGACGTACTGGGCATACTAAGTGGGAGGCTGGGCAGGGCTGCTGCCCAGGCCTCCGGCTCCTCAAATAGAGTATCTCAGCGAGAAGTAAAAAGGGGGAGAAACTGGGGCAGAGAGCCTGGCAGTCTCCTGCCTTCCCCCTGCTTCTGTAGCCCCTGTCTCTACCATCTTCCCATCCTTCTCCTTAGCTTCTATCACTTAGGTGGGCTGGTGTGCCTTGAGTGTCGAGTGTGGGGATCCCCATCCTTGGGCAGTCTCTGGGAGGAGGAGAATTGTCCTGGGCTCATCACCATCACAAACAGAAGGCCAGACGCCAAACACGTTACACATGCATTTAATAGACACATTCTGCGGAGGGAACAGAGATGCACTCATTCTTCCAGCAGTTTATAAGCACCCTGAGATGGGGGGGAGGGGACAGCCTGGCATTGAGAAGGCCTTAGAGGCACAGGCTTCCCATTGCTGCATCTGGAGGTGGTGCTGATGGGGCTTTTGCAGCCTGCCTGGGCCTCTTAGGAGCAGTTGAACCAGAACCTTGGAAGAGAATATGCTGTAGGTTTGCACGTCTAGCACAGAGGTGTCAGGAGTGGCCTGGGAACTACAGGAAGGGCCAGGGCTACCTTAGACTGGGAAATGAGGTTAGCCAGGATGCCAGGCTTCCCAGCAGTACAGGTGAGGTGGTGGAAGGGAGACCGGGAAAAGGACTCAGGTATCTTAGTGGGAGTGCAAACAGGCATCCAGGTATCCAGGCATCCAGGCACGGGTCTGTGACTGCATTTAATGCTTGTAGTTCTTCCTGCTGGAGGATGTGGTAGAGATGAACTTGACACTAGAGCCACTGCCCCCTGGGCCCCGGCTGCTACTGGTAGTGAAGCCAGAGCCTCCCAGGCCTGTGCCCAGACTGTGTCCACCGCTGGTTGTGAAGGAATAGCTGCTGCCTCCACCGAGACCCAGGCTTCCACCTGCAATGCCAGCTCCACTGCCATAGCCACTGGAAATGGTGGAGGTGACCACAGCTGCAGGAGAGAGGACATGGTCAGAACCACAAGCAGAAGACACCTAGGGCTGTCACGCTATGTGCCCTAAAGTCCTTGGTATGGGGATGGAATGATCTCAGCAGGGAGCTGTTTGCCTCATTGTAGCTCCACCTGCTCTGCCCACCTGCTGCATGCTAGAGTGGACATTCTCCAAGACTGGAATGGCTTCCTGCATCCTCTCTGCTACTCACTGCCTCCCTTCTCCTTTCAGAAGTACTGGAGACTTCTCTTCTCCAAAAAGCTTTTTCCCTTTATTGGCTTCACAGTCTCCCCCACTGGATCCTCTGTTTTATGTCCCTCTCCATCCCTGGCTCTGGAATCTCTCTCTTCCTTCTGTCAGCTAATAGGGGGCCTCATGTGCTCTTCTCTCAGTATCCCCCAGCTAGGGCACTCAGCATCCCAGATGGGAACTGGAATATATTCTCGATATGCCAAAGACAAAGACATTGGCCAGTCAGCTCTGCCCCCGCTTTTCTTCTACAAATCTATTCTTCTAACTTATAAGCACTCAGCACCATAAATTATCTAGCACTCCACTTTGGGCTTTGCAGAAAGAAAGCCAAAATGAGAAATGAACTATAATAGACTGAATTGTAGTCTCCAAAAATAAACAAAAAAAAAAACTGTGTTGAAGTCCTAATCTCAAGTATGTGTGAGTGCGATCTTGAAAAGGAAAAGCTGTACAAGAGAAATTGTTCCTTTTAAAGCTTTGTTCTTTTGAAACTGCCTAGCTCTGTAACTGCTTCATGGCTTTGTAGTTACTTTCTTGACTCCTGTAACCGCGAGAGTGTAACCGAACATACAAGATAACTGGTGGCCTCTAATCAAGGCCTGTAACCGGCGGTCTTACCCTGCTAGCTAATGAGAAGAACTGCCAGGCTGCTGTCTCACCTTTGCACCTCTTTTGTACCTTCTGCCTGTGCATCATGGAAAGGCCCTAGAGTACCAGAAATCAGAGCCTGATGTTCTGGAAATGATCTCAATCAGTGCCCATTGTTGTAAATAAATCTGCCTCCAAATCCTGGGTTTCTTTTCAGTGTTCCTGCTTGCTGTTGCAATTTTATTTGGAAACAGGACCTTTGAAGATGTAATCAAGATAAAATTTTTCAGATGGGCCTGGGTCCAGCATGGCTGGTCCTTTTAAAAATAGAGAAGACATTCCTGTGAAGACGAGTATGCACAGGGACAAGGTCCTATCGTCACAGAGACAGACATTGGAGTGAGGAAGCCACAAGCCGAGGAAGACTAAGTTGATAACCACCACCAGAAGTGAGGAAGAGGCCTGGAGGGATTCTCTCCTGCAGAGCTGAGCCTGGCCCTGTCATACCTCAGCTGTGGGCTTCAAGCCTCCCAAACTGTGAGACAGTAAATGTCTGTTGTTTTTAAGCCCCCTAGTCTATGGCACTTGGTTGCAGCAGCTGAAGGAAACTAACACAATCCTCCAGGTGTATTCAGAAGAAAAGGAATCTCAAGATTATGCAATCTGTTCCAAGAAGTAGTTCTGAGGGTCTCTGGAACCCTAGACTTGGACTGAGGGAAGGAGCTAATTCAGGGACACTGGGGTAATTCAGAGGGCTCTGCCTTCTAGAATCACTGGCTAGTGTGATCATTGAGCTTATGAATCTTTCATCAGGAAAACCAAACTCACTTGTAGGGTATGAATTGCCAAGGTCATTTCTGTTGCCTTCACCATGCTAGCACTGAGCTCTGTGAGAGAGGACTTCTGCTCTTATTGGCACACTGATAAAGCCTGTCCTGTTTTGCAGCAGCTGTAACCAATTGCTGTGGTCCATGCTGCCCCAAGGGCCTTGGAAACCCCCAGCAACTTCCCTCAGCTATACACTGCAGAGCCGAGCCAAGCAGTGGCTTCTTCTCAAGCTGTTTGGAAGAGGGCTCTCCTCATTGGTCATGCCCTTGTACCCAGTGTGAAGTCTCTCTCCAAAGCCCCAAGGCAGACCAGGAATTTTTATAACTCCTGACATCAAGTGCTCATCTTGGAGGTCTCTGAGCTAGACTCACAGCTCCAGCAAAACAGTATGGACTCCTGGGAGGTGGAAGACTTGGCTGATGTTTTTCTAAACTCACACAAAGCAATTATAACAACCCCCCCCATTGTCATTTTCTTGGCATTCTCATTCACAAAGAGGCAAGAATTGTGACACTGACGTTTTTCTCCTAATATTACTGTCTTGTCAATAGACTCAAAAACCTCAAACCTCCTCAAAAATGAACCCAGCCTGTGGGATTCCCTCTCATGCTTAAGGTCCTCTCACCTTTTAAGCCCATACCTCCTCATCCTTCAACTGCCCCCACCCCAAATGACCCAAGAATGACGCCATACTCACAGATGTTAACCGGAGAGACTCCTTCTCCACTCAGCCTGACCAGGAGGAAGGGGAAGAAAGGTTATGCTTGTGTCCAACAGTTTGTGGGTATTTGCCATGACAGTTTTGCAGATATTTTGAATGTATTAAAAACATTTTATTATTTTTATTGCAAATGTTATACAGGTTAAATTATGTAAATACTAATATAAACCTATAATCTCAGAAACACTTTTTGGTTCTGATATTTTGGTATCCAAGTATTTGGATACCTTAAAGAAATTACAACTAATAACACAGTGACCATAATTGGAAAGGTAGAGCTTATCCTAGAACAGGATTTCTCTCCAACAAGGGACTATTGTCATGTACTGGGCCAACACTGAGGTTGTTATAGGCGTGAAGAGGAGTTTGAGCAGTAAAATTAACAATAGCAACAATCAATCTATTATTGTCTGGACAATTGGCATTCATTACAAACACATACTTACAACTTTAATAAGAACTAACGTTATTGGGTACTTGTTACCTACATTGTGCCACTTAGTTCTCTCAACAACGTCATTAGGTAGGTATTATTATCTCAGTTTTGCAAAGGGAAAATTGAAGCTCAGAGAGGTTAATTAACTTGCCCGTGAACACAAAGCTGGATTTGAAGCCAGGTTCATCTGACTCCAAAGCCCATGTCTTTGGCCACTATATTGACTCAGAGCTAACATTTATTGAATACTTGTTGCATAAAATGCATTGTTCTAAGATCTGCATATATATTCTTATTTTAACCCTTTTAATAACATATGACATCAGAACTATCATTAACCCCCCTTTTAGAAGTGCAAGCACCATGATATGGAGAAGATGAATAATTTTCCCTTGGCTACAAAGATGGTAATGTGCAGAACACCAAGATCCCACCAAGATTTGGGGATCATGTAATCTGGACCTTTTATTTCTTCATTGAAGAAATTTAGAACTGGAGATGGATGTGCCCAAGCCTATGTAGCCAGACAGTGGTGGACAGGTGAGCCAACTACTAGGGAAATTTATTCTCAGTCCAGAGCATTTTTACCATATTTCAAGACCTGCTGTGTAACCAACCTCTCCTTTGATAGGATGTACTCTCTTAGACCTTAGACTTCAGATCTAAGACCTCTCAGATCTTAGGTTTCTCTGGCATGCTAAATATAGTTGTATAAGTAATATCACTTGAACCTCAAGTGATTTGCTAGCTCAGAAGGACATTGCACCTGTCTTCTTTGTGATAGCCCCATTCCACCCATACTTTATTCCTTTCTAGTAGAGGAGAAGGCTGTGGCAATCTGAGCCCCTTGGAATACCCAGGCAGCTGGGGAGAGCTCAACTTGTATGGAGGATGGGTTGGTGCCCTTGCCCCTCACCTGCACTCCTCGCCCTCTAGTAGCTTGCGGTAGGTGGCAATCTCCACGTCCAGGGCCAGCTTGACGTTCATGAGCTCCTGGTACTCACGCAGCAGCCGGGCCATGTCCTGCTTGGCCTTCTGCAAGGCCTCCTCGAGATCCACCAGCTTGGCCCGTGCATCCTTCAGGGCCAGCTCTCCACGCTGTTCTGCATCAGCAATGGCTGTTTGCAGGCTGGAGCACTGCAAGGGAAAGAGGAAACTGTGGCTCTTACAGACAGCCTCTGGATGTGTGGGTGGGGTGCTGCTTGGGCAGAAGTCACTGAAGACAGAAAAACCCAGAGCAAGTTAGCAGCAGAGGTGCTCCTGCCCTTGCTAAAACTTTACCTGCTTCTTGACGTTGTCGATCTCTGCTCTCAGCCTCTGGATTACCCGGTTCATCTCAGAGATCTCTTGCTTGGTGTTGCGGAGGTCATCACCATGTCTACCCGCTGTGACCTGCAGCTCCTCATACTGATAGGACCAGAGAAGACCCAGTCACCTACTGAAATGCTTGACTTGGGCAAACCCTGTATGCTAGAGGTAGCCTACTCACCCTGTGGACACTTATTAATTCCATTACTCATTAATTCAGGTGGCCAACATGACTGCCTGACTGCCTGCCTTCTTCCCTCCCTCCCTCCTACCCTCCCTTTCTTCTTCCTTCCCTTCCTTCTTTCTTTCCTTCCTTCCTTCCTTCCTTCCTTCCTTCCTTCCTTCCTTCCTTCCTTCCTTCCTTCCTTCCTTCCTTCCTTCCATTCTTTCTTTTTTCCTTTCAAAACTGGGGATTGAACCCAGGGCTTTGGCATTGAGCTACAATCTGAGACCTTTTTAAAATTTATTTTGAGAGAGGGTCTTGCTAAGTCAATAGGTTGCCCAGGCTGGTCCTGGACTTGTGACCTTCCTGCCTCAGCCTTCCAGATTGCTAGGATTATGGGCATGTGCCACCACACTCAGCTCAGATGGTAATTCTTGAGTAAATCTGCTTGTTAGGAGGCAGTAGGTTCCAAGAATACCACAATGAGCAATCAGGCCCCTGTTTCCCTAAGACAGTGGTGGTGAACCTATGGCATGCATGCCTCAACAAGCTGTTTGTTATCACTGAAAGCTCTAAAAGGTTCACCATCATTACCTTAAGGCTTACAGTTTCCTGGGGGAGATAGACATTAATAAAACCAGTGTATTATTCAATTTATAGTTCCAAACAGAGTTAAGTGCCCCTAAGGAAAGAAGCAGGGCCCTTGAGAGTGTCATACAGGAGTCTGATCAACTTGCATGTGGGGAAGGAGTGGTAAGAGAAGTCTTTCCAGAGATAGAGATGCTTGAGCTGTGGTCTGAAGGATGGCAAGAAGAGCCTAAGTGGCTTTCTTAAGAGGAGAACATCCCAGATGGAGAATAGCTGGTGGGAAGACTCTGGAGCTGGAAAGAACATGGAAAATTCTAGAAGTGAGGAGATGACATAGTCAGTGTTGGGCATGTGTCCAAACCAACTGTACCCAGGAGTTTTGGTAGCCCTTCAGGTACTGGTGCTGGGGACACATGGAGATGAGGCAAGGGAACAGTGTTTGTGGTGTAGAAGTTGGGGGTGGCACAAATGGGACTTTTAGGGGAATGTTCCTGGTCTCAGTGGCTATCAGTCTAGTGGTACATGTCTAGGACACACTCATTTGGAAGAATCACTGTGTCCTGTCTCCTGTGGCAGACTAGAGTGAAATTTTTATTTTTTTCAACAAAAGGAGAACCCTGCCTGAGTCAAGATCTGCCCAGTTTTGAAAATACTGGGCAAATTAGCTACCTCTGGTTCTAGATACTCGGGATTAGAAAACACAACAGCCGCAGCAACACGAAGAATCATTCAGGAAACACTGCCACCATGTCACCTTGAAGCCGAGTGCTTCCTGGCTTTGTCCACTATCACAGAACAGCTCTGTGGACTCCTAACTCCTGATACTCTCTTCCTTTCTACGCTCTGCAGGCCAGAAGGGACTAAGGCAGCACTAGGATAGGGCAAGGGACAGGGGCTAGCTTGTAAGTGGGCAGCTGTCCCTGTAAGTGACCTGTATTTGGCAGGGAGCTGACCTTTTAGTCTCCTATACCTCACTAAGGCCTAAGCTCCCTCTGGCCATCAGAGTCCAGGAACAGAAATTCTATTGTCATCCCAATCTCCCTCTTCCACATTCACACTCTTGCTCCACGAAAGACCCATTCCTGTGTTTTGGTTGCTTGTTTAGCCATAAACATTTCTCTACCCCCTTCATAATCTCTGTCCTGCTGGACAAAAGACTCATTTCTTCTGGGAAGGTCTTCATTTTCCCTTCCATGACTCCCTATTCACTCCATGGCTTTCCCAACCTTGGGTTCTCTGTTTGCAGTTCACTCATTTACAACCTTGTAACAACACTTGGCAGATGGTAGGAGCTCAGTATATCTGTACGGAATTAGTAAGCCTTTTAGAAACTGCCTCAGGACTACTTCTGCATGAGCAGTGTGGGGACTGTGCATGTCCCTCTGAGCACCCAGCAGTGCCTGGCAGCATATTAGCAATATTGGTGAGATATCCATAGATACATCAAGCTAGGTTTTCATAGCATCAGAGATGCTCCTATTGTGTTGAAAGAAATGGAAATGCGCTCATGTTGCCTGAGTGAAGTGATGATGTAGGTGCCTCACTGACCCTACAACTGATCATGGAAATGCCCACGTTTACCTTGGTCTGGTACCAGGACTCGGCCTCAGCCCGGCTGCGGTTGGCGATGTCCTCATACTGGGCCTTGACTTCGGCGATGATGCTGTCCAGGTCCAGGTTGCGGTTGTTGTCCATGGACAGCACCACAGAGGTGTCACTGACCTGGGTCTGCATCTGGGACAGCTCCTGCAGAGCAGCAACTCAGTGTCACCCAAGCACAGGCGAGATCCTGAATCCCTGTGGTGACCATCTAGGTGAGGAGGAAGCTCTTCCTTGGTAACCCTGGTGGATTATTCCAGAGGTGCCCTGGACACTAACAGCTATCAAGGGGATGTTGTTTCACCCCGGGGAGCCTCTGTGTGGGCCACTGATCAGTATGCTGAGAGAGTTTCCCTGGCACCACCTCTCCAGTCTCCCATCTGTGTGCTTTCCCTGAGTGTTATGGGGGGTAAGTGTCCTCCAGATCCAAATCACATAGACTTGACTATGACGTATGTTTTTTAATGTCAGCATAAAAGGTGCCTTTGGGATCAGGCGATGCTGAGGACCCTGCTGTCCCTTGCATAGTATGAGTTCATCCCTTTCTCCCTCTCCCTTTCCACAGACCCAGGGCTCTGCCAGACTGAAGCATTTCAGAAGATAGGAAGCCCCCAGTCAGTAAGCTGAGGGGCAGCTGCTCTTGTGAAATTTTCTTGGGGGAGCAGGTGGTTCTTGATTCCTTGGGGATGTTACCCACTGACCCAGAATTTGAGAATCAACAGTACTTCCTTGATTGGGGGTGTCCTGCCATGGGAGGAGGGATAGGTCTCAGAGCTGGGGCTATCCCCCAAGTCCAGCTTGGAGGATGAAGGCCAAGACTCTGGGTAGAGGCACACCATGAAAGGCATTCTGTACTATCTTTTCCTTTCTAGGCTCCAGGGAGAACAAAAAACTATTGCAGACTCTTACTTCCTCAAAGATCATCCGGTAGAAGTTGACCTGGTCTGTCAGAGCATCAACCTTGGCCTCCAGATCCACCTTGTTCATGTAGGCACCATCCACGTCCTAGAATAACACAGGAAGCTCCTCTGAGACCCCAGCTCCAAGCAGTCATTCCCCCCTCAAACCTAGGCAGAATCCCGCCTGGCTCTTCTAGCTTTGGTTTTAGAAAACTCAGTACCAGGAGTACTGAGGGTGGGTGACTGGGGCTGGGGACTTGAGTTACCTGAGGTGACAGAAACCTGAGCAGGGTCAGTGCAGTGTGTGTGTGGTGGGGCACACAACATTTTGGCTGGTTTAAGCTCTCTGGGTAATTTTAAGGTTGAAGTGAAAAAAAATTTTTTTTGAGTGCTCCAATTGTCGGTTTACCCTCACTCCAAGATTCAGTATTGTTTCCTTTGAGAGACATGTTCACTCACCTTTTTCAGGGCCACAAATTCATTCTCAGCAGCTGAGCGCTTGTTAATTTCATCTTCATACCTGTAAGGACAGGGGCGAGGGAGGGGGTGTGCTATTGAGCAAGTCTTCCGTGCAACTCTTCCAGGCTGGTGTAGCAAGAGTTCAGAGACATCAAAGCCTTTCCAGCTCTTCTGCTGACCTATGTGTGACTCTAGGTGATTCACTTAAGCTCTATTTCTTCCTCTATAAAAGGGGGCTAATTTCTTCTGACAGTTTTTTTTTTTTTAAAGCTTTTATAAGCCTAGAAGATGATCATGGAACTGATGGGAATAGAAATATGTCTTAGGCAATTGTCTCTTTAGAGATGCATAATTAATTCTAATTGTTCAGAAAACGATGCCTCAAGCATCTGCTGAAATAGTAGAGGAAGCTGTACTTGTTCAGGACACTGTTCCAGGTGGACACTGACCTATTTTCACTGGACCTTTGGGTGACCACAGAGTGGTGTGCTTTTTGTAACAAGGTGTACTTCAAACTCAGAAGCCGAGGGTGTGCCAGCTAAGGGTTAGCTAGGTTGCTCTTCCTAACCTCCCCTACTGCAGGCTGAGTGATGTGAAGCCGAAATTTGCCATCATGAAGAAGATTGGATAGCCTTGTTTAAACCCCCATTCTTTCTTCCTTTCTTTTCAACCCTTAAGCTAATGGCTCCTTGGAAAGGCCAGCGATCCCAAACTCTGAGCTCACAGCCAGTGAAGCTAAACGTTAGTGCCCAAAGTGAAATAATGTGTGTGGGAAAATGAGTTGCTGTGTTTTGTTAGATGTGGCGTATACACTGATAAAAATGCGCTCCTTGTTAATAGAGGAACGTTTCTTTGTTACTCTACACATGCTGTTTTTTCCTTACGGGGCATGACAGCAAGGTCCAGAGCTCTCAGGTGACACTGGCTGCTGTTTCTCTGCACATCTCTGGTCTTCAGAAAAAGGAGCCCTGGGACAGCTGTGTGTGGCCAGAGGCCTGTTTCCTACTCACCTGACTTTGAAGTCTTCTACAACCTCCTGCATGTTCCTCAGCTCTGCCTCCAGCCTGCCCCTTTCTGTGGTGATGCCATCCAGCTGTCGTCGGAGGTCGTTGATATAGGTGTCAAACAGGGGCTCCAGGTTCTGCCTCACTGTCCTGGAGCCCTGCTCCTGCAGGAGGTTCCACTTGGTCTCCAGGACCTTATTCTGTTGCTCCAGGAAGCGCACCTGGAGAGAAGCGGAGAGAATCAATTTTTGTGTGTGCGTGTTTCTGGAAATTGAACCCCTGGGCCTCAAGCATGCAAGGCAACACTACCACAAAGCCACATCCCCAGCCTGAGCATGAATCTTAAGAAGCCAGGGACACAGAGCCAGACACTCCTATTAACAAGAAAGCAAAGGAAAAGATGGTTTTCACTCAATGCCCAACTGGCAGCTTTGTAATTGACAGTTCCACTTCCAAGGAGGAAGCCACGAAGAATCCAAAGTCCCTCAGAGCTTCCACGGAAGGGGTGTAGGGGACTCAGAGCCCGTGGTGCCTGAGCTGAGTTTTTTAACACCACCTGCCTGGTTACAGGTAATTGGCTCAGCAGAAGCTGCTCTCCTCCAGATGTTGACTCCAAACCAACCCATTGGCTCCCAGAGAGGGTGAGGGCCACCTCCCAAGGTCCTGCGGGCTAAGCCAGCCTGACTTGAAAATGCCTCGCCCACCACCAGTGCTAGTAGAACAGCCGCATCTCCCCTGGGGGCCCTTGCATCAGTGCTTTCCCCTCTGGGCTGGGCCTTCCTTAAGTGTATTCATCCCAAAGCAACAGGACAGATGAAGTGCTCGTCCCACCTTGTCGATGAAGGAGGCAAACTTGTTGTTGAGGGTCTTGATTTGCTCGCGTTCCTCTTTCCGCACCCGCTGGATGCTGGGGTCGATTTGAAGGTTGAGGGGAGTCAGGAGACTCTGGTTGATAGTGACCTCTTGGATGCCTCCAGAAGGGCAGACTGGGAAGCTAGGGCCACCAAAGCTTCCTCCAACACCACCCCCATAGCCAAATCCATGGCTGATCCCAAATCCGGTACTAGCCCTGCCACCAAAGCCACTTCGGAAGCTGCCTCCACACCCACCAATGGAGACCCGCCTGGTCCCCCCCAGGTTGTAGAGACTTCGGCTCCCAAAGTTGGCCCCAGCACTACTGATCCTGCCCAGTCCCCCGCTGCCTCCCGTGGAGCGGGCCACAGAGACGGAGCTGAAGCGGGAGCGCCCCGCTGCAGGTGTGGTGGCCGAGGCGGTGCTGAAGCCCCTGCGGCTGCCGGAGTGGAAGGTGATGGTGGACTGTCGAGACATGGTGGTGAGGAAGGCCGGCGGGGAGCTTCTGAGGTAGGCGTGAAGGGGATGGAGAAGGCAGGCAGCTAGGGAGCTGTGGGATCCTTGGGCTTTATGGGGCTCCAAAAGGGGCGGGGCATGGTAATGAAGGGGCCTCGCTGATGGCATCCTCTAGGCATCCACGAGCCCTGAGCTCACACTCAGCACCCCCCGGGAAATACCAAAAAAAGCCACTGGTTGGTTCCCTGTCTCCCTCCCCCATGTGGAAACTCCTTTCCAGTTGCAACTTGATCAGCAGACCAGTGAGAAGCACGTTAATTGCTCTCAGTCATGTCCTAATCACGCATCTTCTAATGGACTCAAAAAACACTGCCTCGTTTCTAAACCGCTTTCTTAGGCCTGGGACCAACTCCCTCCCGTCCAAACATCTTGTGTCAATACAAGCCGGTGATATTCACTGTTTCCTGTTCTGGGGTGTGCTTCCAAAGCCTGAGGACGTTCTCAGCAGCTGCTGCCCGCTCCCCTACCCCATCAGACTGGCCCTCCTAATCATGAAAATCCTGCTGGGTTGGGCACTCCTCTTTCTCAGCATCCACCCAGGGTCGACTGGTTGATTGTCCCTTTCTTTAGCTCCGAAGCTTCCCTGTGTGCTATGTAGGTCTCTTGCGATTTTTTGGAGCGTGAATGTGTATGCGCATGGGGGTGGTATGCCCTGCCTACTGCAATAGGATGTGACCATCAAGGCCAGCCAGCCTCAGACTTCTGTGGATAAAAGACAGGAAAGTAGAAAGACTTGGGTTTGAATCCCAGCCTCGCCAATGACCAGCTGTGGAACTGTGGGCACATCATGCAACTTTTTGGAGCTTTGGTTTGTGTGCCTGTAAAATGGGGTTTGAGGTGAGGACACACGTGTGAAAACTGCTGCAATCCTTAACCATGGGAGCACTGAGTCTTTGCTCGTCCTGATCCATTCAGGTGAGGATTAACAGAGGGTCAGCTGTGTATCTGTCCTATGACAAGTCCTGTGGGGATTCCAACGAAGCAAAATGCACATTCTGTTTCTTTGATAGTAAGTTCGTGGTCCTTTGGCAAAGATGCTAAATAACTGTGGAACAAGAGGGTAGGCATCAGAGCACCACTTCCAGGCAGTCCTGGAGGCTGCCCTCTCCCAGAAGCTTCCCAGCCCTCTCCCTCCTCCTTAGGACTGGGCTCTGCAGGTCTTCTCACCCTCACCAAATGAACTCTCAGCTTTGTATCCAGTGGAGGATTCTTTCTTTAATCCCTTGCCCCTGGCGCCATTTATCTTTCTGATTGTAGCCTATATTCAGTAGCAACTGACAGGAAGCCTACAGCAGCGCTCTCTTTTTCTGCATCTCTTTTACAATTGCAGACAGCAATTCAGTTTTCTTTGTTTTTGAGACCTCTTACTTCTTGCTGTGGTTTTGAAAGGTGGGAGAGAGAGAGAAGAAATTATATGCATTCAGTCTCTACTGTGTGGATGAAGAAAGGCGATCCCAACTGATTAATTCAGTAGACTGACCACATGACCTTGCTGGTAAGAAGCAGAGCCAGAGTCATTGTCCTGCCATGCAGGTGTCTGGCCAGTGTCTACCAGCTGGAGGCTGACAAATGTTCTCACCTGCTTGGACTGGCAATGTGGTGCTCGGAGTGGCAGTTCCCTATGCCCTGAGCAGGCTTTTCCTCAGGGCTCCAGCCAGGGGCTGGGATTCTCCTTTAGCTAAAAGACGGTTGCCTGAGAGTCTCAGCTTGCATAGGGCACCTATGAATCACAGCGTTTGTTGACACAAGCCAAGAAGAGCAAAGGAGTTCTCTCATCCGGTAGTTGGAATACCCGGGTGCCAGCCAGGGTGGTGCATGCTTATCTTTTTGAGCAGAAAGAATAAATATCTTTGTCCTGCACTCTTTATAACACAACAATCTGTCCCCAGAAGAAGGGATGCTTGTTTGCTTCTTGAGTGTACTGAGTGAGCCCCTGCAGAGGTCTCTGCAGATGAGAAGCAGTGAGGGTCAGGCACAGGAAGCTGCTCTGCTGACTGCCCATGGGAGGTTATGGAACCACCCACGGGTGAAGTGGCTGCAGGCTGCTTCTCTCCCTGCCGTCTCTTCCCTTCCCACACCCCCTCCTGCGACACTCATTTCTAGGCCCTGCCGTCTCATCGCATCCATTCCTGTTTCTCACAGCCGCAGCCTCTCCCCTGGGAATGCTCTCTTATGCTTTCTTCCCCTCTGCTTAATGTTCCCACCAGGATGGCGGTTTCTCATCAGGTCACAGATATTGGTGGGCTACACTGAGGTGGATGTCTTTTGGCTCTGTTTCTTCTTCATTCTCTCTTTTGTGACCTCTGATTTGCACCATGATCTTTACCCTAGAAGACTGTGAGTGCCTGGGACACAGCCTTCCTGACAATCTGTGTCATCTCCCCCTTTATTTTTATTGATTTTATTTTTGTGGTTCTGGGGTTCCAGTCTGGATCCTTGCACGTACTAAGTCCATCCCTATTAAAATCTCAAAACTTACTGACTGATAACATTTTCTTCTTTGCTTTTGTTTTGTGTTGTTTTGAACCTCCTTTGTAATTCTGCTTAAAATTGACCCCCAGAAGCCTTCTCAGTTGAAGCGGCCCAAGTGAGTGCCACTTTGCCCCTGTCCCTGAGCACACCTGTGTTTGGCTTGAGCTGCAGTGAGTTGGTTTTTCTGGTGGTTGGGGTGCTAGCCTACCTCTGTGATAGAGGGTGTCTAATGTAAGGAGAACTACATATTCCTTTTTATTCTACAAGCACTCTTGACTCTCTCCAACTCTATTATTGGGTCTGGCTGGGAGGAGTGACCTTGAGATTTAGGGGAGTGGTGGCTTTGAGGGCATACCTTCCCAAGCCTGGGAAGGCAAACCTTTCAGTTTCTCCACTGCCTGTCCTTCCTGCTCAGGATGATGCCATTGTACTCAGAGGGACACACAAGTCCTTTGCAGGTGGTTGGTTTCAAGGAGGCTGGGCCAGGTGACAGTGGTGGCTGTGGCAGTGTGGGGAGGAGGACGGCATGTTGAAGACATACAAATCTGAAGGAGGAGGAGTTGGGGAAATCAGGGAGCCTTGGCTTCCACCCAGGCCAGCACCAGAGGAAGAGCCTTGGTAGAACACAGGATGAAGGGGGCTGGTTCCCTAGTGCAGGCTGGTCTTGCACAAAGGCTTGAGTACGCAAGCCACAGCCACCTTTGTCCCATTGCTCAATACATTAGCTCCCTCTTAGACTAATCTTCCTTTCTGGGTAGTAGCCCCTCTTGCCTGCCAGGTTCTCACTCTTCTAAGCAAGGGAGATATAGTTGTGAGAAAAGCAGATAGAGCTCACTCTAGAGGAGGAGAGAAGCTGAGGAAGTTTGGAGGTGCAGTCACAGCCAGCTGACACACTCCTTGGGTTGTGTGGGGAAGGTAGTCTTGCTGTGGTGGGACTGGAGAAAGCCCAACCTGGAACACGTTTCTACCTTGACTGTTGGTGGAGCCATGCTTCCTTAATCTTTGCAGTGTCTACTGGACACCACCAGCCTGCCTTGAAGGGGCTCAGATGCTCCTCTTTGCAGCACTCTTGCTCCTCCATTCAGTGATGGTAATTGTCCTTTAAAGGGCACTAGAAGTGCCACTGGATCTCAACAGTCTATCAAGGCCCAGGACTTGGGACATCCACCTACACGCAGCCAACTCACCTGCTCTGCTCCTTTCCACTGGCCACGACTCAGGCCTTCCACAGGGCCTGGACTAATGGGTGGGTGCAGGCCTCTTGTACATAGGCCAATAGACCTCAAGACCCCACTGGGCAGTTTTAGTGGCTAAGTAGTGTGCTCCTGTGCTCTTCTCATTCAAACTTGTGTTTAAGACAAGCGAGACAGAGCTGACCCTTTGCTCCATGATTAAGTGTTTCAACATACCCGACAGATTCAACTCCTCAAAGTTCAACACAGACACATGTGTCTTAAGAACATTCACAAAATGGCAATCATAGGTGAATGTAATGCCAACTGAGTGCATCAGGAAAGAAAGGTGAATTAAAGCAGCAGAATTAGTCTTCTAAAGCCTGGAGGAATGTACAGATAGGGCAGATCAGAGAGGTGACAAAACTGTGGCCCGCCACAGAGGTGTTTTGAAGGTGAGCCAGAACTCCTGATTCTTTCTGCTGCCACACATTTGCCCCGAGGCTCCTGCACCTTACAAAGACCAGAGAGTAAAGCTCCTTGTTGCCTGTGACCCACATATGGGGTCTTCATTGGGGGAGGAATGGGTGAGGTGTCACCGTCTCAAGGGCCCTCCCAGTGCATCCCACGGAGAGCAGCTGGAGAAATTTAGAGAAGACAGGATTCCAGGTGTCTTTCTTATTCACTTGTGACCCTGCATTGGTCTCACTGGTTCCTGGGATCAGGGTACTTTGTTCACCAAATCTCTGGTTTGTGCAGAAGTAGAGCTGCCAGATAGAGAAATTGGTGAGAGAGGAAAGTGGGAGAAAAATGAGACACACCCCAGCTCTTCTGCACAGGAGGGGACCCAGATGCCCTGTGTGAACTGAGAAGCAAGAACCCTAGAAACCCAACACCATGAATGCTGGCAGGGAGCCATAGCCTGTGGGCAAATGTTGGGCCGGCTGGGTGATACTGGCACTCTGAAGGACGCTGTTGACACCATCTCCTTGGCTTGTGACTGGTCTGGAGGTTGCTGCTGAGGGTTGGGGTATGTGTCACTAATTGGGAAGTAAGAGCTGGAAGCAATCACCACACTCCTGATGGGCCTGGCAGTGCCTCCGTGTCCATGAACTTGGACCTCCTGAAAACACCTTCCTTCCTGTTGCTTTCTAGCCTCCTTATCTCATCCCAGTTACTTCTGAGAGGCCAGAGCCTTCAGCCACAAGTTATTGTTCACCCATTCATTTATTCTTTCATGAAATATTTGTTGGGGACCTGTGATGTGCTGGGCACTGGGACCCACAAGGGAGAAGACATAATCATCCACAATATGACAAGGAAGTAGACTGTAAAGGTAGGCTGTTACCTTAGGGGTAGACTCAAGATGTAGACAAGGAGCTCTGAGACACCTGGAGGCCATGCCCTCCTTGTGACCAGAGCATAGAGTGACCCGCCATGACTGTGTGGTGAGTGTCCTGGCCTTAGTTGTTCACTGCAGCTCCATCAAAATGCATGAGGTGCACATTATAGAAGTCCCATATTTTATGAATGAGAAGAGGGAGACTCTGAGTTCTACATGAAGTAGGAAGTAAATTGGAACTAAGACGGTTGTCTTCTGTCCCCTAGCATGGTGCTTTGTTTCCATGGCACATGAATCCCCTATCTGCCATAACAGAAAGTAATTGTTCTCCATGATTCTCAGGTACCAGAGACTTGATAGGCTGTGAGGATGACAAGACTGCTATTTATGAAACAACACAGTCATATAAAATGACATATGAAGAATTAGAAATATGGTTCAGGAAGTGGTATGATTGCTTTCTGCTCCTGTCAGGCCAAAGACAGAGACAAATTCCTTTCAAAGGGAGTTGTATGATTGATATGATTGGATGGGGCTTGAGGACTTCAAATAAGTCTTGCTCTCCTATTGGTTCCAAATGCTGTGTTTTGGAAACACACAGCTCCTGAGGATAGGAGAGAGGCTGAAGTGGCTGGCTTGGCTTAAACATTTCTCACGGATAACTCACAGAGAAATCCACCCACAGACACTTTGGACAGGATTGCGTTCCTTTGCTGAGTGTACCTACCTTGTCTATGTGACACGGTGCTTCTACATGAGGCATCCAGCTGATGCATCCATTGCCTGGGTATTTCCAGGGACGGGAGCATCAGGATGTGAGACTGTGTTTCCTATAATTCCCAGGGAGGCTGGTTCTATGGGACACCCAGCTTTGGCTGAGGAATCCCTGCCTCACTCTGGGCTCCATCACGCCTAGCTGACCTGCAGATACCAGATTAGGACACACTGATGATGAGGGTGGTGACATGACAATGGTGATAACAATGGGAAACTGAGAGCCACTAAGCTGAGAGTGACTGACTGAAGGTAACTGGAGACCAGGAACGTCTTTCCTTGTTTTTCTTTAAGAAGGGAAAACATTCAAAAGCCTGGATGCAAAGAAGTGGAGAATTAGGACCAATGACTTATTATTACATTGGAATTCATCTCTTTGTAGAAGGGCTCAGCAGAGGGCTCCCTCAATTAGTCCCTCTCTTAGTGTACAATCAAAGTGCCATTGAGCGGCAGGCGGCTTGCAGGGCATAAAACCAAAACTACTGAGGAATCTATGGGGAGAAACAATGTCTGCTGAGTAGATGAGCACCACGTTTGTGATGCAGGTTAGATCCCAGCAGCCGGGACACTGCTTTCTCTCCCCGGAAAAGGACAAAATGTCACAGACTGCATGGACAGATGCCCTCTGCATCATGCCAGGCCTGGGAATATTTTGGATGCACTCCCATTAGGCTAATGAGAGAGACAAATTCCTTTTAAAGGAAACGACTGAAAGTAATTTCTGTCCACCTCTGAGCACTAATTTATTACACAAGAGGTGGCTAACCTGGAATGAGCCCAGGGACTAATGAAAATGACAGATGAGTACGGAAGTGGGAGAAGTGAGGAAAGAGGGAAGGAACCGTGACAAGAAGCCAATCTGTGTGTTGTTGTTGCTGTTGTTTTGTTGTTGTGGTGGTGGTCGTGGTTTTAACTACCAGGGAGTAAATTAAACTTCACTGTGAAGGATTCAATTCAAGTACCAAAAGGCTTCTATGTTCTAGTGCTAAACAGGGAAATACTCTCTCTGGGGAAGTTGCAAGGATTTGGGTAGATTCTTTCTGAGATAATTAGGGAATGTGGTTTTGCAGTGAATAAAAGCGCTTTTTTTGAGCACTTAGTGTTTCTATAAGTTAAGCATCTATACCCTACCCCAATAATGCTGTTTAGGTATCATGATCTTTTTTTTTTTTTTTTATTTTAAGGAGAGAAAAAAAACAATGACATGATACAGAATTTCAAAACAAGATGATAGGAAATTAACAGTGGTTATTATTTGCATATTGTTATTTTCAAAGTAGTTGCTCAGATTACAAGACATAGGCATGTAAAATTGATCAAACAATATAAGCACTAACTGTTCCTTTGTAGAAACTAATAGAAATTAGTAGTACAATTATGTTAGCTATCGTGTGTGTGTGTATATATATATATATATATATATATGTATAATTTTAAAAAAAATTTTTCTTTCCCCTATACCAGTTGTTCTTTCCTTTTGAGCAGTTTCTTTCCCTTTCACAGTATCTATTGTACCACAGCCTTTTATAGATTTTGTGATAAAGCAGGGTTTCCCTATGTTTTTCAAAATTTCCCCTCAATGGAACTGGTACTCAGTTGACCTCTCTGAAGTTGGGCCTCCTATTGCTCATGTACTTTCAAGCTTGGGCATTCACTGCCCTTGCCTCTTGGTCTCTGTTGTGTGCATGCATGTGTGTGTGTGAGTGTGCATGTGTGCATGTGTGTGTGTGTGTATGCTTGTGTATACATATGTCTGTGTTTATGCATAGAGTTCTGGAGATTTTTCAAATATAAGAACATAATTCAGTTGAATTTAGTATACATTTAACAATGCACCTGACTTTTCTTAAATTGTTCTACAGGGTCTAGGACCCTGACATGTCACAGGCAACCTTAAACTGTCATGCTGAGTGACTGCTAGGCTGCTGAGTGACAGAGGCATGCAGGAGCAACTAATGAGGTGTTTAAGATGTTTTCTGGGCTAAAGATAATCACATTTTGCTCCTCACCCCCTCACCACAAAGGAATTGTCAAGAAATCAAGGCGGGGAAAACAGGGCTTCAGAGACTAGTAAGAAGTGTTGAAAAGAGAAAAGGTGAAAATAAGGCTTGGCTGGAGTCCAGGCTGAGGGAGGAGGGATGGCAGGCAGAGCCAGCTTGGGAAAAAGCAGTCATTCATCTTCCCAGTATGGGCTGGAATTCTCAAGCCAAAGAGGAGACACTGCTTGGTGTTTGCCCTGGGTGTGTGTGTCACCAGCTGATGTCATCGTCCAGCGTTGCCCTGCTTAGGTAAGAAGCCTGATCCTGCATCTCTCTTAGCAATCCAGGGCAGGTGTGTCCACCAGAGGGCAAGCAATGAAAGGTGGCAGGGGTGACGGAAGTCACAGGCCTCTCCCTCACCATAAGCCAGCGAGGAGGTGATAGACTGAGTATGTGGTGAGACTGAACTTCCCAGTATAGGGAAAGAGCACAGGTTCTGCAACGAGTCAGATCAGTCATCGGATCCTGCTCTGCCTCTTATTACCATGTTAGTTAACTTTTCTGAATCTTGATTTTCTCATCTTCAAAATGGGGATAAAGTTTAACAAGGTGGTTGGGTGCAAGATGAAGGTAGAGAAATCACTAATTTTTACATACTACATTTAAATAAGAAGAAATCATGGGAAAAGGGTTCTAACAACATGAGAACTCTAAGATACCTAGGGATACCTACCACTAACTAAAGTAAGAATAACCAGAAAACATCGGAAACAATGACTAGAACTATCAGAAAACAACGTAATATAGAGCTCTGGTGATGACAGTGATATGGGCAAGACTTCAGTGTTTGTAGTTCTTTCTGCTGGGAGAGGAGCTGGTGTACTTGATGGTAGAAGTGCTGCCCCTGGCGGAGCTGAGGCCTTCCCCAACACCGATGCCTGCGCTGGCACTGAAGCCATCTCCTCCAGAGCTGCTGCCCCTGCCCAGGCCTATGCCACTGCCTGCACCACCGGCACTGCCATAGCCTCTGGAGACAGTGGACTGCACCATAGCTGTAGGAAGGAGACAAGGACACAGGACACAGTGTGCTCTTGTGCCTGCCTGAGCCAGGGCACAAGGTCTGGCACAGCAGAAACAGAAAAGCTGAGTACTTACAGACGTCAACTGGTCCAGGGCCTTCACCATTCAGCCTAGCAAGAGAGGAACACAGAAAAGTGAGACCTTGAGAGGTGCTCACAGGAGCCTGTGGGAAGCCTCTAGCTGGGAAAGCTCAGGTGGAATTGCTATTTTAATTGTTTCCCAGAGCTGAAATTATAACCATGACTAGTATTCCTAATCTTGTGCTCTTTGCAGATGTTAGAGATTTGACAGCGTGTGAGGGACCCACCTGCACTCCTCCCCTTCCAGCAGCATTCTGTAGGTAGCGATCTCCACATCCAGGGCTAACTTAATGTTCAAGAGATCATGGTACTCCATCAGCAGCTTGGCCCTGTGCTGCTTGGCCTTCTGCAGGGCATGCTCCAGCCCTTCCAGCTTTTGCCTGGCATCCTTGAGAGCCAGCTCCCCACGCTGCTAGGCATCAGTGATGGCAGACTGTAGATTGGAGCTCTGAAGAGGAAGCAAGTAGAATGGGCTTGTAGTTTGGTGCTTCCCCAGTGGATTAACCCTAGATCTTCTTTCCCAGTGGGTCACAGAGCCATCAATGAGTGCAACACCACCTCTGAGTGTTTCTGCCCAGTGGTTTCCATTTGTAGTCTTTATCTAGTTAGAGAGTCAATGACAAGAATATATGAGGCCATTCTATTAACCATGCTTCAAGAAGTTACAGCTAGTTACTGACTGGAGACACAGCAGTAGAGACAATAGAAGGAATATTGGAAGAGTTAGAGTGGGTTTTTTTGGTGGGGGTGTATGGTCTCCAGGGCCAACCAGGTAAGATTTCTGAGGTCACATCTCAGGCCTCCCTTTTCTTTCCCAATTTGTATATTTTCTATTCCCAAGTCAGTCAGTTTGCTTATGCAAAAAGCAATCAATTATTCCTGTTTATCTTTTTATTGCTTGACTAACTGAGATTGGATCTGCCCAGGTCTTTTCCCAAGACTTTGATAGGATCTATGTCTTTCGCAGATGGGTTCTGAACTGCAGCTGTCTCTCTCTTGCTGATGTTTTCTTTATTCTCTGGGATATATCACAAAAGTTAGTTTGTGATTCCATCATGGTCTAGCAAGGTCTTTGCAGTTGCCATTCACCATACCTGCTTCTTGGCCTGGTCAATTTCAGATCTCATCCTCTGGATCATGTGGTTAACATCAGCAATCTCTTGCTTGGTGTTGCGCAGGTTGTCACTGTGGCTGCCTGCTATGACCCGTAGTTCCTCATACTGTAGTTGACAGGGAGAGAGAGAGAGAGACAGAGACAGAGACAGAGAGACAGAGAAAGAGACAGAGAGAGAGAGAGATAGTTTTTAACTGAGAATAATGAGTTTTCTCTTCTCAATAAGGCAGATAATAACCGTGACACAATGGTTTCCTTCTCTTTGAGAAATTTTAGGAAAAGCTGATTTTGCATGGTTGTTGAATACTGTATAACTGAGTCACAGATCGTCCTGACTAGGAGATCACAGATTGTCAAGTTTCTTGGAAACTGATGCTGTTCTGTAGTGCATTCTGGGAATTAATATTCAAGTTGGCATAAACAAAGATGATTATGTCCTTCTCTGCGGGGGCTTTCCTTTTGTCTCTGATTTCTTTTGCTTTCTGGAAATGGAGATAAATCCTATAAATGTCAGCTCTTACAGTACAGGAAACAGTGCCTGAGAAGACCCAGCTTTCTTCATGTAGACTTTGTGTAGATTCCCCATACCACACCCATGGAGTCAGAAATCTTCTGGTATTCAGGGCAGGGGACATGGATTTCTTAGCAGTCACCATCTCACACTCACCTTGGTCTGGTACCAGGACTCAGCCTCAGCCCGGCTTCTCTGAGCGATCTCCTCATATTGGGCTTTGACTTCCGCAATGATGCTGCTCAGATCCAGGTTACGGTTGTTGTCCATAGACAGAACCACGGAAGTGTCTGAGATGTGGGCTTGCATTTGAGACAGTTCCTGCCCAACAGAAAGTTCTAAGTTTCTCTTTTCAGATGTACCCAACACCCAGATCTTCCCTTTTGCAGAGCCTATCCTAGATAAAGGAAAGGTAAGGATACTTACTGCATCAAAGATGGATGTCAGGAAGCGGACCTCATCTTTAAGACCATTGGCCTTGTATTGCAGTTCAACCTCATTCATGTGGGTAGCATCCACATTCTGGAGACAGAGATGACTACATGGTGTCACCTGAGCCTTCCTGCCAGCCCATCCATCTGCATCTCCCTGGCACCTCTCCTTTAGGGTGGGGTGGGAACCCAAGCCATGTCTCTCCCAATGAAGGTCAACCCACATCCTGATCTTCTTCCAATCCCCTTACCTTCTTCATGGTCACAAATTCATTTTCAGTTGCTGTGTGTCTGTTGACTTCACCTTCATATCTATGGGAAGAACAGTATAACATATTTGCAACAGTGTTTTGGTGCATTCAAATCTAGTCCTTGATCCCTCAATTCTATGAATGGAATATTTCCAAATCCATTTTTTCCCCCAGAAGAGACTAAAAGATGTTTTGTTGTGATTCAATTTTTAAGTTCAGTCTCCCTCAATCTCCCACAAACCTCTTTGTCTTCCAAATTTGGTCTTTGGCAATAATTTCTGATTTTAATTCCTCTGAACGCATTTTGCTTTGAAATGACACCTGCATATAGACCAAGTCACCAACCAGCTTTGAGAAGCGAGCTCACTCCTCTTTGACTCACTTGTCCTTCAAGTCTTTAACTGTGTCCTGCATGCCTTTGAGCTCTGAGTCCAGGCGGCCTCTCTCTCCAAGGACGATGTCCAGCTGCCTCCTGAGGGTGTTGATGTACTGCTCAAACAGAGGCTCCAGGCTCTGCCTGACTGTCTTGGTGCCCTGCTCCTGGAGCAGGGTCCACTTGGTGTCCAGGACCTTGTTCTGTTGCTCCAAGAACCGCACCTGAAGAGAGACAGATGTTCATATGACAGACAGAAGTAGGACAAAGGAGCTGGTTGGTGTGGAAATTTCCCTAGTGGATCTGTGCTTCCCATAGTGTACAGTCCTGAGCATACAGAATCTCAGGCCATACTACTGTATCACCTGTGTGTTTTGGTCTAGATGCCATAGCCCAGGGGCAGCATGTTGATGGTCCTTAGCAAGAAGCAAGGGCTGGGAGACTCAGCTGTTCTAAATGGTTTCCATCTCTTGCTTCTCACTTCACTATGCGGCCATTTTGTGCCCAAGGAGAGCTACTGTGAAACCCCCTCTGTATGTCCTACTCTCCCCTGGTAGAAGTTTGCTGTGTCTCCACTGGGGACTGTAAAATGCCCCATGGAGGGATAGGCTTCATAGCTCACCTTGTCGATGAAGGAGGCGAACTTGTTGTTGAGGGTCTTGATCTGCTCACGCTCCTCCGTCCTCACCTGCTGGAGGGTGGGGTCGATTTCCAGGTTCAAAGGAGTGAGGAGACTCTGGTTGACTGTGACCTCTTGGATGCCTGAAGAGGGGCACACAGGGAAGCCACAGCCCTCACAGCCACCACCACACCCAGCCCCAATACCAAGCACCAACTGCCACCGGCCCCACCACCAAAACCGAGTCCACAGTTGATTCCACCTGCAAAATCACCTCCAGCTCTGCTTCCATGTCTGCCTCCAGTGGCACAGCTGCCACCTCCAGTGGAGACCCTATTGGTATCCGCAAGGCTGTAGAGGTTCTTGCTGCCAAAGCCAGCTCCTCCACATGCTGTCTGCATGCTGCCATTGCCTCTGGCCTGGCATATGGAGCCACTACTGAAGCCAGAATGGCTGAGCCCAGGAACTCTGGCTGAACTGGCACTGAAGCCACCATGACCGCTGCCCTGGCTCCTTATGGTGGTTTTGCTGGACATGTTTCCTGGACCTAAGAAGGCTGAGGAGTGTTGCAAGGTACAGGCAGAGCTGAGAGGAACAGATGAAAGAGATGGCGGGGCAGCAGCCTTTATATATGGTGTTGATGCATTGAACTGGGTTCTGGAATGTGAGTTGGCAGATTGGGAGGGCTGGTTTTACAAGCACTGAGCTCACACCTGCATGGTTAAGAAAGTTATGAAATATCGGGATTGCATTTTTGGCTTCTTTTAAGTGGAGAAAATTCTCCTGCCCCCGGGCTTGAGTTAATCTCAGTACAGGTGGTTTAGTCATTATCCTAACAAAGGTTCTTCATGTGTATCAGAATATTCTGTGTGTCCTTTTGTCTTCACGTCTGTCTCTGCCCCAAACACAGATATTGGAAATGGTGAGATATCTATTGCATATACCTTTAGAGATTACTGGCTTTCTGCAATGATTACAAATGTTAAACATGACTTGTTTTCCCTTTTGTGTAACTTGTGACAAATATAGAGTAGTACAAAAAATGTAATCATCTATATCCTGCCACCCAGCTCTAACTATTATTTCATGACAAACCTTATGTCTTCAATATGCCTTTCCTGTTTCCTCCCAACTAACAATAAATTATTTGGAAGCAAATTTCAGAGGTCATATTATTTCTCAAATAAATAATTCTACATTAGTATCAAAATAAGACACTTTAAAATATAACTAAATATTATTTGCATGTCTTAAAAATCCTTGCACTTACTACTAGCACTAATGGCCCACTCAGTTAAAATATTTCTGTTTCTGTACAAATTTTATATTTTGGTTTTCCAGAATAGGATCCAAACAGCTCCATATATGTATATTTGAGTGGCATTTATCTTTTAAATGCCCTTTAAATTATTAAAATTTTAGAATGTACTTTCATTTTATTTGTTTTGGAACCAAGTAAATTATCCCGTATGTTCTTTCAATGTTTGACTTTTTGTGATTGTGTGTTCATTGTATTCATTTAACATGTACTGTGTCCTTTGTATTTCCTATAGGCTGATATTTAAAATTAGAAATTTATTAAGTATCTTCTATATAGTGAAAGCTTTTCAGTGTCATAATAATGTAAATATTTCCAGACCATACGTTTAAATATTAAATATTATTATTTACACTCTCTTATACATTTTTGTAAAAATGTATTAATGTTTTGTAATACATGTTTAATAAACAAAGAACATATTTGAGGCCATTCCCAGCTACCATATTCCTAAATTGCAGGTAAGCAATGTTGTCAGTTCCCTGTGGATCTTTCTGATAACTTTAGTTGGGTATGCTTCTGTGATTTTCCTAGGTCATGTATGTTGTACCTGCGTGCATGTATGAGAAAGAGCATCTGAGAGAGGCGGAGTAGGTTTGTATATTTAGAGACAGTGCCTGCAATTTCAAAAGGAAGGTGCACAAAGTAAGCAAAGTATATATTTGTATGTGTTTCTAAGTGTGTGCTTTATGAATATGAAATGTATATATGTTGTTATTATTTAGATATAAAATGTCTCTCAAACGTTTCCTATGTTCAGAAGTGGGATTAGGAAAGTGATTGGTTCATAGGACACTAAGCTCCACTAATGAGTTCATGGCCATTAGGAGGCGAGGCCCGGTAGAAAGAACTGTGTCACTGGGGTGTGCTTTGGCTCTTTCTTGCTCTGCTTCCTGGCTGCTATGGGCTGAGGAGATTGTCTCAACAGACCCTCTGTCACGCCCTTTCAGTCACTGAGCCAGATGACCGGGGCCTGACCTTCTGAACTCAGGAGCCAAGTAAATCTCTCTTTCTATTTTGATAGCAAATATTTTGCTCCAGTAATGAAAAATGTGACTACTATGGGTATATTGCTCTGCCATTTCTTTTCTGTTGTTTCTCTTTTAATATTCTCTGATCGTTCTTGTATCCTCTGGGCTTTTGTCCATCTTTTCCTGTCATCTGCCATGGTTTTCCTCTTTATGCAACTTGGCCTGACATATTTTGTGCTTTACTGTTACTCTGTCCCTTTCTGAGCATTGTAAGCTAACATTTGTGTCTTTTATTGTGTCACAGCGTTTTTCCATCTTTTTCTGATTGTGTAGCTTTTAATTTCTGCTGGTGTTTTACTGTACTTTTTTGCTGTTGAGTATTCTCTGTGTACCTTTTGTTTTTCCTGTTTGTTTCATTTCAGGAATGCACAGATCTTTTGAGGATCAAGCATGGCTCCTTACTCACCAATCCTCATCTTTACCTGAAGTGAGCATCTTCTTGATTTGGCAATTTGTAGGAAGTATCTAGGAGACTGGTCCAGGCCATTTCCAGGCTCACAGGAATTTTAATATTACCTAGGTCTGTGAGAATAATTCTTTTATTCAGGTAACTCTCTGAAGGTCACTGCAGAATGGCTCACAGTCTAGTCTCTCTGCTTTCCTTCATCTCCAAAATGCTGCCAGCAGGTTCTGCCCGTTATCTTACTCAGCTCTGCCCTCACAGTGTCTAAAAAATTTATGACGTTGGGCATCTTCCCTCAGCTCACCCACTTGGTTTTGATGGTTTCAAACAAAGGATTCTTGGATCTCCTAAAGGAGGCCACGCTTGTTACACCGATAGGGCATGAAGTTCAGGAGGTCACCGTGCCTGCTCAGAATTAGGCTGTTTGGATTTCCATTGTGGTTGCCATGTTGTTGTTTTTTTTATTCTTTTGTTGCATTACTGTTGTTCCTTACCTGCTTTTTCCTAAGATTTGCAGCTGTGAGCCTTATGTCTCTGAGCATTCCTAGCAAGTTTGTTATTTGTCCATTTTTGTGAGAATGATATTTTTTATTTATTTATTTTTAGTACATGTTTGTAGTACATAATGCTTATATTCCTTGTTGGGAATTGGTACATATACATAAAATGTCTTAATTCTATTTTTTGCCCCTTTTCCCTCCCCTCCCTGCCCCATCTCTCCATCCCATTATCCCCTTCCTATTTGAAGAACATCGATCTCCCTACTCTTATTATGTTTTAGTTTGTTCCCAATTTATACTTCGGTTCTCAAATAAGAGGTACTGTAAAATATTTAAACTTGTGTGTCTGATTTCACTTAACATTATGGTCTCAAGGTGGGTTCAGCTTTCTACAAGTTTATCTTTCTTTATGATAAAGTAGTACTCCATGGATGTATCAGCAGCTTCCAAGATTTACCTCTTATGAACTATGCTGCTATAAACGTGGCTATACACATATGTTATAATAGGATATCTTCAAGTCTTTTGGGAGGTACCTAGGAGGGAAATACCTGGGTTAAATAGAATTTCTAGTTTCAGTTTCATGAGGAATCTTCATCCTGATTTCCACAGTTGTTCATTCTCACCCCTGTATAGAAGGGTTCCCTTTCTCCTTGCAGCCCCAATGGTATTTGTGATTATTGGATTTCTTGATGATGTTCATTCTTTCTAGGGCAACATGAAATCTCAGTATTGTTTTAATTTGCATCTCTCTAATGACCAGCAATTTTGAGCATTTCTTCATGTATTTGTTGACCTTTTTTTTTTTCTTTTTCTCCTAGTCCTCGTGCTAGTTCTCCTCCTGTTCCTCCTCATTTCTCTTCTTCTTCTGTGAAGTGCCTAAACATATCTCTTGCTCACTTATTTCACTGGGTCTTTTATTTTTGTAGGTCTAATTTTCTTGAGTTCTTTATATATATATTCTAGATATTAGTTCTCTGTCTGAGGCATCGCTAGCAATTTTTTACCTATTCTAGAGGTTGTCTTTTTACTTTGTTGGTTGTTTCATTTGCTGTGCAGAAGCTTTTCAATTTGACATAACTCTGTTTGTTGATTCTTGGTACTATTTTCTGTGCAGTCTGGGTTTTGTTAAGAAAGTCCTTGCCTGTGCCTATGACTTCAGGAGTTTTACCCACTTTATCTTTCAGCAAGTCTACTATTTCTGTTTAGCAATTAGATCTTTGATCTGTTTTGATTTTAGTTTAGGATATGATGAAGGCTGTGGGTCTAGCTTCAAACTATGTGGGTAGCCAATTTTCCCAACACCATGTATTAAAGAGGCTATCTCTCCTCCAGTGTATGCTTTTGTTCCATTTACCAGAGATGAAATAGTTGAATGTGCTTGGGGTTGTACTACAGCCTTTATTCTGTTCCAGTTTTCTTTGTGTCTGTTTTTGCTCTAGTATCATGGTGTTTTTTTTTTTTTTTTAATCAGTAACTTGGTAACATAACTTCAAGTCTGGGATCATGATGCCTCTTGCTATGCTCTTCTTAGCCAGGATTGCTTTTGCTATTTTTGGTCTCTTTGAATTCCATTTGAATTTTAGGATTGTTTTCTCCAGTTCTTTGAAAAATGCTATAGGAATTTTGACTGGCATGGCATTAAATCTGTATACCAATTTTGGAAGTGTGGCTATTTTGACTATACTGGTTCTTCTTCTCCAGGAACAAAGGATGCCTTTCTATGTTCTGATGTCCTCTTTGATTGCATTTTCAGAATGCTGTAGTTTTAATTGTACCTTTAATTAACCTTCCTCAGTTTAATTGTACCTTTAATTAACCTTCCTCAGTTAGGTTAATTCCTAAGTATTTAATTTTTCTTGGTGCTATTGTGAATGGCAGTTTTCTCAATTTCTTTCTCAGTGGGTTCATTATTAGTGACAGGACAATTACTTATTTTTATGTGCTAATTTTATGTTCCTCTAAATGACTGAATTTAATTAATTCTAAGTGCCTTTGGTGGATTTTTCTGGTTCTTTTATGTAGACAGTCCTGTCATCTTCAAGTAATGGTAATTTGATGTCTACCTTTCCTGTACATATCCCATTGATTACTTAATATTTTGAGTACTATGTTGCACAGGAGTGGTGATAGTAGACATTCTTGTCTTGTTCCTGATTTTAGGGGGAAAGTTGTTAAGTTTTTCCCATTTTATATGATGTCAGTAGGTTGGTTATAAATAGCTTTTATCATTGAGATAATGTTCTTGTATGCCTATTGTCTTCAGTGTTTTTCTTATGAAAGG